TTTTGTCTTTGAGATTGAAGGTTCCACCTGCAATTGCTCAATTCCAAAACACTTTGGATAAGAACACTGCAGCCCAAACTTTCAAGTTATTTAACAAGTACAGACCAGAAACCGCCTCCGAAAAGAAGGAAAGATTGACCAAGGAAGCCGCAGCTGTTGCTGAAGGTAAGTCTGCTAAAGACGCCTCTCCAAAGCCAGTTGTCGTCAAGTACGGTTTGAACCACGTTGTTTCCTTGATTGAAAACAAGAAGGCCAAACTCGTCTTGATTGCTAACGACGTCGACCCAATTGAATTGGTCATCTTCTTACCTGCTTTATGTAGAAAGATGGGTGTCCCATACGCCATTGTCAAGGGTAAGGCCAGATTAGGTACTTTAGTCCACAAAAAGACCTCTTCTGTTGCTGCTTTGACCGAAGTCACTTCTGCTGACGAATCTGAATTAGCCAAGTTAGTTTCTACTATCAACGCTAACTTCATCGAAAAGTACGAAGACTCCAAGAGACACTGGGGTGGTGGTATCATGGGTTCCAAGGCCAACGACAAGATCGCTAAAAAAGCCAAGGCTTTAGAAGTTGATCCTACAGTTCGTGCTTAAATCCATCACGGTTCTACTGATATCTGTTACGCTTTGTGACCTTCATTTAATCTGTATACTATATATATTTTAACAATACAATTTCACGTCTTTCAATCGATTGTACATTTGACCTCTATGCACCCTTGGAATGCAACTCAATAGCCTTATTGGAACAAGTATTTAGGGCTAAACCCTGGTAACTTTCACAGTATTTGGTCTTTATGATAATCCATTTTTGTGTTCTGAAAATTTTTTCCCTTACACTAACCCGAATCTTCACTCGATTGAGGACGAATACTTAGGACTTTTCAACATAATTATCATATTGCTTATAGATATTGTTAATTAAGCAAGTTATTGTTAATAAGGGTATGTTTAAGACTATATAAACAGATAGAAACTATAAAAGGATGTCAGCTGGAAACTGTAACTACTACCAATCTCTGGAAATGAATGGGACATAAATATGAAAAATTCTATTATATACTATTTGAAATCATATGTGAACAAAGTTGAAGAAGAACTACGAAATAGGAAGACCATTAAGATGAAAGGATGAATCCAAGTGATATAGGATAATAAAAGTTGATGAACATGACGGTTGAATCAAAAATCTTCGTACGGGTATTGAATAAAAATGAACTATTAGTTGAACCAATGAAAGGAAATAGAGTTAAATTTAGAAAGAGATTATGCAAATTAAGAATAGGAAGTGCAGAAGTTGAGAGTAACAGACCAAGCAGGACGTTCCGAAGTGCTGGATAGTAATACTAACATATTTTAGAAAAATGGCTAAATCTAAGAATCACACCGCCCACAACCAAACCAAGAAGGCTCACAGAAACGGTATTAAGAAGCCAAGATCCCACAAGTACCCTTCTTTAAAGGGTGTTGACGCTAAGTTCCGTCGTAACCACAGATACGCTTTACACGGTACCGCTAAGGCTTTAGCTAAGGCTCGTGCTGAAAAATCCGCTTAATTTACTTACTGAACGAATTATCAACGTTTTGTATTATGTATAGTTTCATGTTTGGTTTTTAGATCTTTACGGGTTTGATAGGTATTAATAAAGCTTTTCAAAATTGTTATAAGCAGTATAAAATTGCGAAATCTACATGTAGCGACGAGTTCACATTCCATTGGAATAATTAATTGACTAGTCTAAGTACGTTCGTATGCTCTTTGTTTTACACTTCTCCAGTTGCTTATAATCTGTTCGTATCCGTTGGTGTAGCTTTGGTATAGTATAGCATTGGTCTGATAATAGGCTGGTTTGGACACGACAATAATTTATAAAGTTGCAAAAAGCCATAAACCACAAATAAGCACTAACCACTAACTGCTAGTATATGTTTCTTCTTCTTGTTGTTATAGCCTATATTATCCTCAAGTAGAATTAGAAAGCAAAAAGTAAGTGATGTCTTCAGTATTACCAGAGTCACCAATGTTTGAAGTTGCCAATAACGGCAAAAAGTCCCTGCGGGTGTATATCAAGAACCTTCATTTTAATACATCTGAAGAAGAATTGGAATTATTTTTAAAGGAATACGAACCGTAAGTTGCAATTTAATAGAGAATAATATATACTCTACGATAATCAAAGAACGAGTATTAACTTCTTGCTGAATAAATGTCCTTATTCCTAGTTACACAATTCGATTTAGTCGCTCCAGTAGGCACCGGCCATTTGGAATTGCTTATGCAGAATTTAATAGTGTGGAACAAGCTAGTAAAGTGGTTAAGGAATTAAATGGTGCATTCTTTAAAGAACGTCAGATCCTGGTGAAGCTTCACGTACCATTTAGTCCGACTGGCAAGCCAATTTTTGGACGTAGAAAGATCAGTTCAAGTGCATTTAAGCCAAGCGAAACCAGCAACAAGACCAACTTTAGTCCTATTACAGATAACCCATTATCTCCTGATAAAAAGGAATTTGATGGTGTTGCATCAAGTGCCCCTAAGTCGATCAAGATAGAAGATATTCCATTCACAGACGAGCCAAAGAAGGGACAAGATGGAGATGCGCAAAAGAAATTGTCGACTGATACTATCTTTATTGGTAATGCCGTTGATAAGACGGTTGACAAAGAAGTTCGTGAGTTCTTTAAAGAGTATGCACCTACACAAGTATTTATTTTTAGGGGAGCTAATCAAAAACGTATGCAAAGAGCCATTTCGTTGAGACAGAAAACAGTAAGCGTTCTTGTTACTTTTAAGAAGGAAGAAGATTTGACTAGCGCAATTAAAGAATTAAATGGAAAGAAACTCAATGGAAGGCCTGTGTATTTGAAAGCTGCTCACTTGTCAAAGATCGAAGAGGTAGCCAATGCAGCGAAGATCAGTGCAATTCCTTCTAAGTCACCACCAACAACTGCAACTGCAGATGATGAAGCACAGGAACAAAAGGCCAACACCACAGCAGAAACAAGTACTTTGCTCGACATGTTTAAGGAAACTCAGAAGAGGATTCAAGGTAAATATAAAGAAACTATTGAGAGGCTGATCAAGCCAAGTGAACCTCTACTCGACGAGGAAGAGGAAGCAAAGCAGAGTGTTCCAAACGGAGAAGTAATTGTCGCTTAAATAACAATCCCTAGACATAGCAAGGTATATTATTAGATTTACATATGAATAGATACTACAATATGATATTCAAAATTTTTAATATAGAATTAAACGCAGACATAAACTAACCCACAAAACTATTTTTATTTAATCATTATTATTTTATACAACAAATTAATTATGAAATAATTTAATCTTGAGTTTTTTGAGTACCACGTAATAAACCAGTTCTTCTGGCGGCAATTAAACCAGCCTTTTGACCTGGGACAGCACCTCTGGAAATAGTAGAAGCCTTACCAATATGTTGATGGTTACCACCACCATGAGGGTGATCAACTGGGTTCATGGCAACACCTCTGGTCTTTGGCCAAGAGTTACGCTTAACCTTGTATTTGTGGAAAGCTCTACCAGCCTTTAATAATGGTTTATCAATTCTACCACCACCGGCAACAACACCGATGACACCTCTAGCATCAGAAGAAAGAATCTTCTTAGCACCAGATGGTAACTTAACTCTGGTCTTACCTTCGTCTTGGTTGTGTCCGATGATAATAACGTAGTTACCGGAGGTTCTACCTAAAGCACCTCTATCACCAGACTTTTCTTCAACGTTAGAAACAATGGTACCTTCTGGCATAGAACCTAAAGGTAAAACGTTACCGACGTTTAAAGAAGCCTTCTTACCGGCGTAGATAAATTGACCAGTGTAGACACCTTCGTTAGCAATGAAGGTTTCTTCTCTTAATTTGTACTTGTATGGATCACGGAATGAAACCTTGGCTAAAGGAGCACCTCTACCTGGGTCGTGGATGATTTGCTTGACAATACCACGAATGTATCCGTGACGTTCAGCATAATCTAAAGTTCTTAACTTGGCAGCACCCTTTCTTAATCTGGTGTGCGAGGTGAAGATAGAACCAGCACCTTTTCTTTGGTTACGAATAACTCTACCTATAAACTTGTTAGTACTTGTTTCAACCTATGATTTTCTTCCCAAAGGAATCCTTTTCTCTCCAACTTTCGAATTATGTCTGTTATTCAAGCTGTCATCTTGTCCATCTATATTTTCAAATTTCAGTGATTACTTCCATTTTATCCATAAATATCATTCGGTCATCATTACAGACCAATTCCCTTACATTCAGGATACTATAATATCAATATTAATCCCCCTAATAGTTTCCATGAACAGTTGTCATTATTTTTCACTCCATCTGCATACTTTTGAATAACTCATCTCATGTCATATCAACGTATACGCCCTCTATAATTCGATAGTTTTTGATACTTTACTATGTTGATGTAACATACCCATTTTCTAGTGTTTGGTTTACTTTGAAGAAGTCCTTATTACTAGCTTTTTGTAAATTAGTCGCTTTTCTCTATACTATTTTGGGCTTGGTACAGTGAGGTGAGTGAAAATTTTCAGATTTCGGGACATATTACACAAAACCATTTTTCGGTTAATGGTAAACCTATACTAGGGCTAAAGCCCCTTGTATAAAGAGTTCATGTGAGTCTATTGATCGGAGGATGCTTGTCTGGGACTGGGCTGTTGGGTGCAAAACATGGAGCAAAGGTTGGAACGAGGTTAGGACTACGATGCTATTGAAACCTGATATAGTAATTTTTGTCGATACCTTAGCAATTAACTACTAATACCATATTAATATGCGATTAAGCACTAGAAAGAGCTTTTATAACATTTTACTGTAGGCTCTGGGTCAAGTATTGGCCTTGGCTCAATGACCCAAAAAGGGCCACCACACAGTAAAATGTAACGGGTGCTGGTGAGTATGAAGCTCTAATTAATTAATACAGTGGAGCAGTATGCATGTGTGTAGTTGGGTATTTAATTTCTGTATTGGTAGTACTACAGGCTGTACAGGTGAAGCGAACCTTATCACCACGAGCTATAATTTGCAATTCCATATTTTACAGCATAACGGCCCCTCTAAAGGGGACCCTGAACCAATATGCTCTTATCCTTTGGCCAGTGTTTCATTTTCTATTTCTGACTGAGTTCACTGTGACATTCATAAAAAATATAGTGATCTCCTGCAACAGAGGCTTCGGAATCAGAAATTTAATGAGAGGGCGAGGTGTTGATTGCCACAAGAGGTAGCAAAGGATCACAACATCAGAAGAAGAGTCTGGCAACGGAGGCAAACTATTCTCAGGTGACATCCAGAACTACCACTTTTATAGATATTGATAGGGCTAGTGTAGAGATTATCTACTTAGATATAGAGTACGAATTGATTTTTGAAGTTCCTGGGAAGATAATTTCGTGAATTACGACCTAGAATTTGATTGTATATTTTTTACAGGATATTTCAGAGAGTTAAACTACAATATTTAACGAATGATGAGGATACCTATCAAAACAAAAACTACTGGATCACTATAGTAAAAGACAATTTTATTAAGTAAATAATACAGAAAAGCAAACTAAATCAAAAACAATAAAACATAATTAAGAATAAAGAGTGAAACTAGAAGAAGCTTCCAGGCATACGTAATCCGGTTGATTCTGGTTGGGTCGATGTTTGAGTAGCCGTAGTCGGAGCAACTTGATCTGGAGCGTTGTCACGAGTAGACTTGTAGTTGGAGCCAGCGACATTAGCGGAATCGTAACTAGAAGTTCCGGTTTTTCTGTAGGAGCCTTGCTTATAGCCTTCATCATATGCATCTTGATAGATGTCACCATTACCACCCAATCTGGAGTTTTGAGTGTCTTGGTGTGAATACTTATGAGCACCAACAGCACCGACAGCGCCGGCAGCACCGGCAGCACCGGCAGCACCTAAACCTGTAGAAGTACTAGATTCAGTGCCTCTAGATCTATTTTGGTAGGCATCTTCATAACCCTTATTGGTACCAGAGCCTCCCAATCTGGAGTTTTGGGAGTCTTGATAACCTTGTTGAGTCTCAGCTTGATGAGCACCATATGCACCCGATCTGGAGCTTTGGGTGTCTTGGTAGCTCTGCTGTTGATTAGTACCTGTTTTTTCTGAGTGCTTATGAGCACCATAGGCACCGGCTGCACCTAATCCTGCGGCACCGGCACCTAACCCAATAGCAGATCCAGCACCACTACCTTGATGAGCACTTGCATCTTGGGTTTCATGGTGAGAACGTCCACTTGATGGGTTTAAATCGATTCTCTTGCCGTGCTCATTTGTAACAATACCAGTATTAGCATCAATTCTCAATTCCTTAACTGATGCTAACACGGAAGGTTGTTTCTTAAGAGCTTCAACAGTTTGGGTTGCAATTCTGGTAGCTTCTGCGTTATCCTTAGTACCTTGAACTGTAACCACAATATCTGAACCATCTGATGGTTTGGATCCTGCTGTATCTCTATCAGAGTGACCAGCAGCCCCCTGGCTTGAGACACCAGGACCCGTAGCTTCACGACTAGAAATTCCTTGACCGGAATGACCAGTAGAACTATGGTGGTCATTTGCCGAATAGTTACCAGTAGTTCTGTTAGATGATGAGACTCCACCTTCGTAGCCTTTAGCACCAGTATCCCGGGAATGAGATCCGTAGGCAGCAGCAGCTGCTGCTGCACCAGCTGCACCAAGACCTGCGCCAGCGGCGCCAGCTTTCAAGCCTTGATGGGATTCGTGATGGGATTGTGATTGTCCAGCAGAAGGATCATACTCTCTTTCATGGTGAGCTTGTGTTCCTGAAGGCTGAACGTTACCTAAAACACCAGCATTGGCTGCAGCGGATAATCTTTCCTTTGCTTTCTGATGTTCATCATGGTGATCATTTGGATTGGTTGATTCAAAATTTTTCTGACTTCCTCTAGGAGAAAGACCACCTTGTCTGTCACTGACTGAATGGCCTAAACCTGCTCCTGCAGCACCACCTGCAGCACCACCTGCCAAAGCATTCCTGCCAGAATGACTGCCGGTGTTTGCACCCACCTTTTCATTAACATCATCAGTCTTATAAACCTCCTTCGTCTGAGTGTTAATTACTAATTTACCATGTGTCAAATCAACTCCTTGAGCACTAAGTTCCTTCGATGCTTGATGAGCAATCTTTGAAGCAGCCTGCTCATCTTTGACACCAATAACTTCAACAAGTAAATTGCTTTCCTCGGCACCCTTATTCTTGGAACTTGCTGCTAAACCAGCAGCTCCAGCTCCAGCGGCACCAGCCCCTACTACTCCGGCAGCAGCAGCGGTACCAAGACCATGTCCATGAGAAGCTTCAGATTGAGATTTTTCAGCTTGGCTCGAAGACAAGCTTGCATCTTCAGCTCCGGCGATCTGTCCTGCTTCATATGAACCTTGAATAATTCCAGCAACATAGAAGGCATACAATTCGTTATCATTTAAGGTGCTGCCTGTTTGCTTACTAGATTTGTCATGGGTTGTTCCATATGCGGTTCCAGCAGCTAAGCCTGCGCCAGCACCAACACCGGCACCAATGGCAGCATTCTTACTAGCTGAACTATGTTTACCTTCGATTTTACCAGATTCATACGCACCTTGTTCAACACCCTTAGAATATGCACTTTCTTCAACGCCTTTAGTGTAAGCGCCTTGTTCAACACCCTTAGAGTATGCACCTTCTTCAACACCCTTAGCATGGGAGCTTTCTTTTGTGGTCTGACCATACGTGTCATACTCAGAGGCTTTAGGTTGAGAGTCATAAGCATTTGCAGATGGTTCAGCATTAACGTCTCTACCTGACGAGGCTAAACCATATCCCGCGGCACCACCTAAGGCACCAGCACCAGCAGCACCAGCAGCCGCTTTACCATAACCAGAGGATTTGGAATCACTTACGTCTTGCTGAGCATTATCTGCCTTCGATGTAGCTAAGCTTGCTTCCTCAGCACCTAAAATCTGCCCAGCTTCGTATGAACCACGAATGATACCTGCCTCATAATATTCATATAACTCCTTCTCGCTCAATGTAGTAGTAGATTTCTTACCAGTGTTAGATCCTTGACTTGCACCATATGCAGCACCAGCACCAGTACCAACACCAGCACCAGTAGCTACTCCAGTTGGGTCTTTGGTTGAAGTAGATGGTTCTTGGACTCTTCTATCAACTTCTCTATCCTGTGAGTAGTCTGCATCTCTGTTAGAGCCATGTGGTTTATTTGCACCAGCCAAAGTACTCGATTCAGTATCTTTCGAATTGGCGTTGTGCTTATCTGACGCAGATGATAAACCCACTGCGCCTGCTACGCCTGCAGCAGCACCTGCTGCTGCACCCTTAAGACCTCGATTGCTAGATTTATCACTTGAAGATTCCAGAGATACATTTTCATTGGTCAAACTTTTTTTTTTGGCATCAAGTTCACTTGTGTTAGAGTAAGATTCTGAACCCACAGCATCGCTTAATTCACCTTCTCTACCACCGGTTGCAATAAACCTATTCTGGTGTTGAAGAACAGATTTTGGAATAGGTTGGACTCCATCGCCAGATGCAGCAATACCGTCTTCGTTAGATTCGCTAACAGATGATGCACCATGGTGGGCTTCCATCTTCTTAATTTCTGGAGAGGCACCTTCAGCAATTTCAATTAAAGATCTCTTGTCATCAGTAACTCCATGTTTCTTATTGTAGGCGGCAACTTCTGCTTCAGTTTGTTTAAAGTTATGTGATGTCTTTGGCTCATCTTCTGCCTTTGATTTTTCAACATCATCATGAGATTTTTTAATACCTTCACTTTCAGCATCTCCACCGTGAGCAGGAGCCTTCGCCACATCTTCAAAGTTTCTAGCCGCTGGGTCAATCAAGCTGCCATCATTATGGGCAGATGAGCTCTTACTACCAGCATAACCAAGGGCACCGGCGGCAGCACCGGCGGCAGCACCCACAGCAGCACCGATACCCAAACTAGACTTATCATTGTCCCTAGAACCAGTTGTTCCTTCCTTGGCTAAATCCTTGTCTGGTACTGTATCCTTTCTTGAACTTTCAGTTGGTTTGTTGCTTTCTGATCTGTCAATTCCCCCAGTGGAGGTGGAAGGCAAATTAGGAACTTTCTGAACACCATCACCATCACCCGAAGTGTTTTGACCATCATTTTCAAGAGCTCTGGCACCTGTCGAATGTTTTGGTTGAGATTTGACATCACCACTACCATCTTCAGCAGCATCAATTAAATTTCCTTGAGATGAAGATGGTTCGCCAGATTTGTTAAAGCCAAGAGCGCCTAGAATACCACTACCAGAGGAATTGTCAAGGTTAGCCTTGGCAAGATCTTCTCTTGGAACCGTATCCTTCTGACTGTCAACCTTAGATGGGTCAATACCACTTTTGTTAGAATCCGATCTATCAAGAGACGATAATCCCATTGCGGCAGCAGCACCACCAAAAACACCAGCAAATAAGCCAGATCTAGTGGAATTGGTAGTTGTGTTAGCTTCAGCTGCATCTTCGTCTTCGTCTTCATCTTCTTCGTCATCATCGTCATCAACATCTTGTAATTGTGGAGTGTCAATCGATCTAGAAGTCTTAGAACTAGCGCTCGATCCATAAGCACCACCCTTACTCGAAGATGATCCAATAGAGCCTTGTTTTCTACCTGCTTCATAAGCTTCATTAATGATATTACCTTGTTCTCTACCTGCTTCATAAGCTTCATTGATAATATCTGAGGGGGATGAACCACCCAAACCCACTTTAGCAGCAGCTACAGCTCCAGCAGCACTAATTGCTCCAGTGACCCCACCAAGGACACCAGGCTTTAATGTGCCATCATCATTAATTTCTGCATCGCGACTTGAAATGGTTGGATCATTTGCTAAGGTATCCTTCTTAGTATCATAGGCAGAATCCTTTACTAAAGCACGATCCTTAGAGTCATCTACATTATCATCAGAATCAAAGCCCAAAGTATTGGATGCCATTGCTGCTACTGCACCAAGAACACCTCCACCTGCTGCACCAGCTGCTGCATTAGATCCTTTGCTAGAAAATGAAGGATCGGTTTGACTAACAGTTCTATCAGTGTTGGAAACAGCGTTGGGATCTTTCACAAATGCTTCAGCTTTAGTTTCGTGCACTTTATCAACATTAGACGAGCCAGAGGCAGCCTTGATGCCTTCTTCGTAGGCTTCATCGACAGTCTCCTTGTCATGGGACTTACCGCCAAGGCCAACATAACCAGCAGCTCCTGCGATAGCAGCTGCAATACCAGATCCAGCAAGAATTCCAGTTTTGTTAGACGAGTCGTCATTTGAAGCATTAGTTTGACTAGATACTACAGTGCTTGAATCTTCTTTCAGATAAATATCTGTCGTGGCCACATCCTTATCCTTATAAGTACCAGTTCCAGGTGCAGTAGAACTAGATCCAGCAGCACCAGCAGCAGACTTCTTCTTACTGGATTCTTGTCTAAAATACTCTTTCCCAGCGTCATAGGATCCAGAAATAACACCTTGTTTATAAGCTTCATCCAAGATTGATTTAGAAGCTCCTGTATTAGCAGATGCATTTTTGACCCCTTGACCATATGCGTCGTCGACAGTTTCCTTTTCATGGGATTTACCACCGAGACCAACATAGCCAGCAGCTCCTGCGATAGCAGCTGCAATACCTGTACCAGCAAGAAGACCTTTGTTTGAAGAGTTTTCTTGCTCGGCGCTAGTTGCGGTAGTTCTTGGGTCAATTTGCCCAGAACCCGCAGTACCAGACGCTTGTTTACTGACACTAGATGTACCAGCAGAAGTGCTAGGTGTGCTGGCAGATGCGCCATAGACACCACTACCAGAAGCATTAACTTGGTCAATCTCTTTTTGGGTAGATGCAATCCTTCTATCTAATTCTTTGATTTGTCTATCATAATCGTAATCACTGTCAGAAAGGTCAGCACTAGCGTTAGCAGCACCTACAGCGGTGGTATCAGTACTGTAAGTCTTATTAGTACCGGCAGCAGTACCTGAACCATACGCATTATCGGCAGCGCTCTTCTTATTGGAATGAGCAGCAAGACCAGCGGCTCCAGCACCTCCAGCGGCAGCGCCAGCTGCTGCTGCACCTAAACCTCTTTCAGAGTACAGGGAATTCGAGGTATTAGTACCACTTTGACCTCTAGCTTCTGCGGCAGCAGTAGTAACTCCGTCTCTATTCCAAGCAGACTTGTTCTTTGCATGCTCTTTTTCAGGGTCGTTGTATTTCGAAGAAGATTCTTGGCCTGATTCTTGAGCTGCTTGGTCCTTTTGGTGTTGTTCTGTCTTAGCATCACGCGAACCTTGGGCTTGACCCTCATTATATGCACTGTTCTTAATGTCATCAATGACACTATTTTGTTGTTCCTTTTGTCTCTGCTCTTCATAATAGGCCGAAGGATGAGTTTTCAAGTTACGCTGCCTATTCAATTCAGCCTTAGTGGCTTCACTCATCTCGCTTCCGTTATTATGACCGTAAACACCTCCTTGTGTGTCTCTTGGGTCAAAAAATACTCCAGTTCCTTCTTTTTTACTGGCATCATCACTGTAGGAAGGGCGATCGTTCTCAATTACTCCATGGTTTCCGCTATTATTCTTTCCTTTTGATCCAGCGTATGCAGCGGTTCCAGCAGCTCCTGCAACGGCTCCAGCAGCAGCAGCAGCTCCAACGGTAGCAGCGGTGGCGGGTTTGGCTCCAGTTCCAGCCCCGGCTCCAGTGGTTTCTCTAGAACCGGCTCCAGTTCCAGTTCCAGTAGATTGTCCAGCAGTATTAGAACCATAGGCTCCAGTAGCGCCGGCTCCAGTTCCAGCACCACTACCATTTCCAAAATGATCTTTATTCACCAAACTCTCGTCAATTGGCAGTTTTTGATTGGCAAAGTCGCCCCCCACATCTTTGTCCACGGGTACTCTGTGGATTTTAGGTGGGTGTCTAACAACCCGTCCCTTTGGAGATGACAATACCGTGTCTCCATCGTCGAAAGAATGTCCAGATCTATAACTTTTACTCGATGGTGAAGAAACTGCAGCTCCTGCTCCTGCTCCAACTCCAGCTCCGGTACCAGCGCCCAATGTTGCACCAGAACCTGCACCAGAACCCGTTCCTGAGCTCACACCCCCTTTTCTGTCGAGCTCAGCTCTTTTGCGCCCTTCTTGGTACGCCAATTCCTCTATTGAGCTTCTACCGGTTGCTCCAGCTACCCCAGATGCTCCAGAACCACCGCTAGTGGTCCCAGCAGCCCCCGAAGTGCCCCTTTTGCTCCCGCTACTCGTTTTAGTACCAGTAGTACCAGCAGTACCAGCACTCCCAGGAGCCTTTTCTGAATTAATACTCGACGATCTCGAGTGGGATCTGAACGGCTTTTTCAACTTATTCAAAAGCCCATGCTTTTCTTCTTGTGACATATTGCTAGGGTGAATTTTTCAATGTCTAAAGAAATATTCTGTTCTTTTCTTTTGTACTTTCAATTAGCGTCAATTGTGTATTATCAATTGATCAATTGTATTTATTGCTTAATTGCTTAATTATATTTAAGTTTAAAGAAGTTAAATAACTAATTAAGTTAATCCCGTTAATAAAGTAATATAAGTAATAAAAGATAATAAATATTAATTGTGGTGCAATTGAGTCGTCTTTAGTATCAATTACCTATATCACCACTAATAGCATATATATATGAATTTAAAATTTCATGACTTTCACAGCAACTATTGTGAAATTTTCCACCAATTGTTGTAGTACAATGAGCCATCATGATTGTTTTATTGCTACATATTAACTCCGCAACTATAACGAATGCGAAATTACGTTGCGTACATCACGTCAAGGAGGTTTGGGTGCCACGGTTCGGGCTGGGGGCTGGGTAAGACAGTTGGACACGAAGGGACCAGCTTGCTATCCTTTAGGGTCCCTTCATACTAAGGGTACAATTAGTCATGTTTGGTATGTGATGGTGATTACTGACTCTCCCACTCGGCAAGGTGATTTACCGTACTGAACGGTGCTGAACGGTGCTGAACGGAAGCCAATGCGTGGGACCTAAAGAGCCGCTTAAGGCCTACATATGTATGGTGGATGGATGGAATGAAACACGGGTGACCCTGTTCTTCTATTGCAGATCTGGTACATACAGTTCGCTGTACAAGCACATCAGCGAGGTGCTGGTTGAGGGATGGAAAAGGAAATGGGGACTGGTTATGGAAGCTGTGGTTGTGAAGTAGAGAGGCATACAATTCAGGGGTTACGATATGGATATGTATATGAACAGATGTGGATAGATATGGGCATGTAGTTATGATGCTAAGTATATAGATTATATAGGGGCTAGTATGGGTGTATTGGAACCGATAGCAATCAAATAGCCGAGGGGTGTGTGTAAGGATGTGAAATCGAAACTATGGGTGTATGGATTCGCGTTCTGCGTAATGGTAGCAAGATGACGAAATGGCCTATGTGTTGCATGCTCGATGGCGATGAGACGAGAGATAATGGCCAGTGATGTCTGCTGAATGTGGGCAATCACGGTGTGGGTGACCATACTCTATTGACGGTCGGCAATCGACGGTAGTGAGAAGATGGCTTGCAGGGAGATGAATGTAGGCATTGTAGAGCCGGGAGATTAAGATTGCATAGTGCATAGCAATTGAGAAATCCGTAAAGGCATCAGGTGGTCGATCTAAAGGCAACCGTTGAAAAGCAGCCGTTTGGTTGGTTCCATCGGACGGGATGATGCATGGAAGCACGATCTTTTTTGTAAACTCTCAATAAGGACTGATTTTGCAGGCATTGGGAAACGAAAGGACATTGATTTTGGTGGCCAACTGATGCCAGGAACATCACTACTTATATTGTGGCATCTTGTTGGCCTTGTTGTATACCAAACGGGTCACCAACCAGTCTAAACTCTCGCGAAGTCCTTGGTTTTCTAATATCGATACAGGCAAGAGCTTCAGGTCGGTGGCCTCTAGCTCACTGACCAAGTCAATGAAATAACCCGTTTTCAACGAGATTAAGTCCACAGCAGTCGGTAAATCCTGCTTGTTGGCCATCATGAGTATCGGCACATTGACAAAGTCAAACCCGTTGTTCTCGTCACTCCATGATTGGTCATGAGTGATCTCCATTAATGTCTCGTAGCACTCGTGGAACCGCTCGGTATCGGTCGAATCGATGATAAAGATGATCCCGTGGCATGATTTGTAGTATCGGGACCACATACTTCGTAATGATTTCTGGCCACCCAAGTCCCAGAATTTCAAGTTGATATTGGTAAACTGGTGGGAATCCGAACCTTCGTATTTGATAGTAGCGACATTCTGTCCCACCGTTGGCAATATCCGCTTCGATCTTATGGTTTCCGTGGTATCGGGTGCCCCTTCTGCCTTTTTGGTCTCATTCGGCGTAGGATACAACAATTTGAGGTGCTCCAAAAAGGTGGTTTTGCCCGCATTGTCCAACCCAAGAATCAAAACATTATATTGCTCACGTTTGGTGTATTGTGTGTATAACGATGATGCCAAATGAAACATATTCTTCTATGTTACCTTTAAATTGTAGTCTATAATCGGTTATATCAACTGAGTCTGAGTCTATTTATGTCCGTGATTTTGGCTTGGTAAGTAGTGCTATTTTTGTTAAATTGAGAGTAATTTTTTCCACAATCAACTAATATCACTTCAATAACTCTTATCTATAATTCTGTATCTTCTTGGAGTGTTGTTGGCAGTTTCGAATCCTTATTTACCACTACCTGGCTTTGGTAGACCTACAATTATGTAATTGGTGTAAACTTACCCGGCTTTGAGTTGCTATTTATGTCCAATACGAAATTTTTCACTGCTTCATGATGATGCTACTTTTCATCAATATTTCTAATGAACACCGACTAACAGTATGTTTATTTGATATACATTGTACATATGATGATGATTTGATAGGGACAACTGATTTACATATGAAGAGTTGTCTTTGATAGTAGAAAAATATCTGATGTACTAGCATATTTGCTCAAAATTTCTTTCCGAACTTATTACTAACAATACAGACTTAATATGGGTCTCATATCCTATTGACGATCGTGATGACAGATGTATCACCTTCATGGCTACTTAATTGGCCGTGGGCTGGTGTATTTCTAGTGTATTTCTTTGATATCTTCTCTAGTACGCGTAATACAGGCTGAAAAACGGCTCATGGCTCTGCAAGCTTTTTTGCAGGGCTTTGGGTCCGTTTGAAATCTCATCGTGTTTCTGTAATGCAGTAGTATTGTATGCGATCCTCTCGTTGTCCGTCAGGCTACGTGGGAACACATATCGTAGTACTTTCATCGTAGATATGGCCAGATATTATTGTTTTGCGCCTGTACACGACACCCGTCTGGCTTCGACTGTCGGTATCAGCTAGAGTACAAACGGTTTAAACGAATTATGGCCCGATCCTTGTTACTATTTACAATAGAAATTAATACATATAATGTCATTTAAACTTCCTTTTGATTTGCTGTCGATTCAGGAATCGCTAAACTACGAAAATCTCTCTAAGTCTATCCAGAAAGTCAACCCTGGGAAGTACTCAGACCAGTTCAAAGAGTCCCTCCAGCCTTTTGCATCTAAGACCAACCAGTTCATTAATGGAAACAACGTAGAAGTCAGTGAATTGCCGGTTGAATATTTGCAATTAGAAGCCAATTGTGACTTATTGTTGAAGTTATACACCGAATTAATCCAATTCAACAATGACACATTCGCCAACGTCTCCTATGACTACCCTCCAGCGAACTACACATTGGCCAAGATTAGGGATGCTAATGTTGGTGGATTGATTTCGAGCAAGTTTACCCAGTTGAAAAACGTTTCGTCTCCCCAAGAATTTGAGAATATCTTGATGGGAGCCAAAGACAAAGAAGCGGGTGACGATAAGGTGGAAATCCAAACCACTTCTGTTAAGATTCCAAAGACATTCTATGGACACCTCTCGAAACTCACTGAAAAGCATAGTCAAGATTTCAAGGAATCTAGCAATGCCTTATCGTTGGGTTTGATGCAAGTGTCTTCTTCGTACTTAGAACTCGCTAACGCAAGATTAGACATGGACAAAACCGTGATGGAAGAATTGAACGCTAAATTGGTCCTGATTTTGAACGAACAGTTCATCAAGGTCAACGAATTGCGTAAGAAAGTCTATGCAGTAAGACTGGATTTCGATTCTATGAGAGCCACTGTGGGCGATGACGAAGAGAATGAAGATTTAATCAAGTGCGAAGATGAGTACGTGAGTGCAACTGAAGTTGCCGTCACTGAGATGAAGAAATTGTTGAAACCATCAAAGTCTATTTCCTTGTTGAAGGTCTTTGTAGATGCTCAAAAGCTGTTCTTCGAAGTTGGTTACAAGAAATTAGCTGCGTTGTCTGAAAGCTTAGACAAAATTGACGTAGCAGATGAAGAAGACGAGGACGACGAAGACCAATCGTGAGTTTTTCACTTCATTGGCGTTATCGGAGGGATTTCGATGCCCTTATTATTTATATAGCGATGTCTTATGTATTTTAATAGTATTAGCACTGAAAAATGCGCATTAGCTGTAGATGAAAAATTGACTCTTCTACTAGGGAAGCCATGTATACATAAAAGCATGGAGAATTCAAAGAAACAAGCGGCCTATAATGACAAGAGCAATGTCATACGTAAGGCCTACTTAGTGGAGCCTATTATCAGACATCGAATCCAAGATTCACTTTTTTACAAGCAATATTTGTACTTAACCAATGAAGCCACCATCTTGCCCATAATCACTAGCCAAGTCAAATATATTGGAAGTACTAACGCCAATGGAAAGCCAACTCCTTTCATTTGCTGCTTTCTTCGCTTATTGGAATTGGAACCTTCTCGGGAAATCATTGAAATGTGTTTGCATCAATTGGGTACTAATGAATTCAAATATTTAACAGCATTGATAATGCTTTACATTCGGGTCGTATGGACAAATGAAGACGTTTTCAACACCCTCGATCCATTCTACTCTGACTACAGAAAACTAAGATTTCAATTGAAATCGCCTATCATGGCCAACGGCATGCCCATCCTTTACAGACTCTCATACGTGGATGAATGGTGCGATGACCTCCTCAACAAAGAGAGAGTGATAGATCTTATCTTACCCCGGATGGTCCCACGTCGTATCTTGCAAGAAAGAGGATTACTTGGCGAAAGAAACTACCATGGGGTCGTCTCTGAAAATGAAGACGAATCCGAAAACGAATCCGATGATTATGAAAGCGACAGTGATTAATTCATTACTCCTATTTTTACTACTTCTGTATAACCTACTGCCTGTTAATTTGTATACATCAGTTGAGACTATCAGTAATCTGGATTCATAACCTAGACCTGTAAACGTTACCCTATTACGGCCCCCAAAATCGCTACATACTGGTTGTGCTGCGCAGGTCCGCATAATTACTACACTACAAGAAAGTTTAATATAGGCCAAATTCACTACAGATAACACTGTGCTCTTTTCAATTGACATCTCCTTGCTAAGAAGAACTTTTACAAGGTATCTGAGGCCAACGTACCGGTTATCTCGTATTAGACCTAACATACGTGTTTAACAGACTGAATTTGCGGGTACACGAAAGTCCATAAATAGACCTTTTTTCAGCAATGTTTTCTTAACTAATAATATATTCTTATCTCTATTAGACGACAAATGAATATATAACAAGGCAAATGACTGTAACTTTATTACCAACACATGGACACGAAGACCAAAATGCAGCATCCGATCATCAGGCTTCGAAAACTAAGATAATTTTCATATCGCTTCTTTTCGTAGTCTCATTATCTTCATTTGTTCTACAAACAGAACTTACGTCCCAGGTGTTCCAGCTCGGGTTTAATGAACCGGTAGTTATGCTATTAGTTACTCATGGAGCTTGGTGGATATTGTGGCCGATGCAGGTGCTTATTATTTCTATCTGGAGAACAGGCAAGAAAATCCAACTGCAGTCCAAAACTAGACATGGAGGCAGTTCTCGCTACCAAAGGTTAGACTCCAACTCACAGTTGTTAGAGAATGGAGATGTTCCTACACGCTCAGATGACCATGGATCGCTTGACATTTTGAAATATTTAAGAAAAGCTATTGTCAGACAGGTTCGTAATGTTTACCATACATCAATCTTGATCTACGAAGCTAATGTCAACGATGATACGTCCACATATAACTGTCACAAGCTTATAGACCAGAATCCCCGTATTTTGAGTTCGAGCTCTTTGACCGAATGTTTCAAGACTTTTTTTTCCACCGAATCATTCAAATACATTTTTGTGAAGAGTGCTATAATCACGGTGATTTTAACGGTTGCCGGAGGCTCCTGGTTCGTCTCCATGGCCATGACTTATGCCTCCGATGTGACCGCGATTTATAATTGTTCTGCGTTCACAGCTTATGCCTTTGCCATCCCAATATTGCAAGAAAAGTTCTCTTGGTTGAAAGCAAGTTCAGTTGTGGCAGCAGTTGCAGGAGTCTTCATTGTTGCCTATTCCGACGACGGGTCGTCAGATGCGCCAACAGGTTCCGACGGTGAAGAGCTCTATCCTAATAGACTCTGGGGAAATTTGATTATCTTTATCGGTGCCATCTTGTATGGGTATTACGAAGTCTTATATAAGAAATACACCTGTATTCCACCACATTTGGTCAAAATTATTACTCCACGTCGTCAATTAACCTTTGCAAACTTTATCATGTCTATATTTGGTGTGTTTACGGCAATAATATTGGTAATAATTATGGTCTTCGGTGAAATATTCCATATCCATAGTTTCAACTTTTTCAATTACGGTGACAATACTTTGAAGATCTGGGCTTTTATCTGTGGTTCTTCTCTTGCAAATATCTTATTCAGTGCGCTGTTTTTGTCTCTTATGGCACTCACCAACCCAGTTTTGTCTTCGGTTAGTTCGTTGTTGACTATTTTCTTAATTGGAATTGTTGAATGGTTTCTTTTTGGTAACAAGTTGAGCTTCCAACAATTACTTGGAGACCTCTTTGTTATTATCGGGTTTATCATGTTGACTACTGCTTCATGGAAAGAAATTAGTGAGGGTAATGACGATGACGACGTCGAAAACGTCAGTACTCTTTCATTCGCTATCAGTACTGAAGGTTGAATCTTCTTTTAATACATTGTATATTTATATATTTCATTAAATAAATAAGAAAGCATATACTCGATAAAGTAAGAACGATTCCTTAATCTGCGAATATGAATCTCGCCCGGAAATTTGCCGTTAAACAGATTGTACATTCTAAGCAAAGTAAATTGCCATAAATCACCATGACTTTTGATGAAAACAGTTCAGACGCAGCCTTTAGAGGTCTCATGAAGAATTTGAACTTAGATGAGTCGCAATTCAAGTCATACAAGACTAACTTTTCCCAATTGACTTATGATCAACTTTCAACCACTAAGAACGAAATCGAATCTCAATTGTCCTTACTATTTGATATACTATCCAACCAATATAAAGCCGATATGTCCACTCCATTGCTAACGGATGACGGATATCCCAGAAGTGATATCGATGTTGTTGGAATCAGGCTAATCAGAGTTAAGATCATACGGTTGAGAAACGATGTCAAGTTGGTATATTCGTTACTAGAAGCTAAGCTAATCGAGAGATTTGAAGAGCAAAAGAATTCAGGAGTACCAGACACATCAGAACAATCGGAACAAGTCAGGAACCCTCTCCTTTACACCATTGCATTTGCAACTGTAAGTGAAGTTGTTCCGCATGGACCTGCTTCTACTTCAGGACTAAAAGAAGGAGACCAGATCATTTCCGTGGACGATATACACGCTGCTAACCACAACAAATTGGCCAACATCTCGCTCAAGGTCCGTGATAGCGTAGACAAGTCTCTCTCCGTCATTATTTTAAGAAATGGCACCCGTCAAACCCTCGAATTGAAACCTACTGATAAATGGGACGGTAGGGGTTTATTAGGTTGTCGTCTACTTCCATTATAAATTAGTTAGCCATATATACAAAATACCCATATTATTAACCAACTCGTTTTATCCAGTTCTCCAAACTAGCCTCCATGCAATGTACTGGTAAAAGTGAAAACATCACCACTTTCCACTACGTAATCTTCCATGCCTTCTAATTCCCAGTCGGTGTCATTAATAAGAACCAAAATACCTGGACGAACTGTACCTTCTTCTATAAATACAGGTACGTCTTTTGGATCACTTATTATAGTTGCAGTAATATATTTAATCAAGTCTTTCATTGTAGCCTCGCCTTCTTCAAAAGGTACGTCACATTTGTGCTCTCTGACACTATTTGAAATAACATCTAATCCTCCTAAGAATTCTACCTTTACTCTGATCCCCATTTTGGTTGTACGTCAAGTTCTAAGCCAATATTCCACCCATTTTTCACTTATAGTACTTCTTTATGTCCCATTTTATGGGAAGAGGTGAATGTGACACAAAACCGCATACCGAGTTTGACCCATGCTGAAAATTCAAACACGTTAGCATTAACTACATTAAACAAACAAGCATACTTAGTTATCGATTCTTAATTTGAAGATATATTGAAGGTAAAATGATTCAATTAAGAATGATTAAACAGTGGGCAATTTTTGTGGCATTTTTGTTCGGTGTATTTGCCAATGCATTGTCTGCAAATGAACAAGGTGTGAGCCAGGCATTGGTAGTCTATGATTCCAGTCTTTATGACTTGAATAACTTGGGAAGTGTAAATTCGGAAGTTGCTAGTTTGGTGTCGGATTTGAAGAATAAACATGGATTTGAATTGACATTGCAATCTTACAGTGATGAAGAATTATCATTATTCGTTGCGGATGAACCAAGATATGATCACTTGATTTTGCTTCCAAGTGCCAAAAAGGCTATTGGTGACAAGAAAGGGTTTAATCAACACCAATTGATGGAATTTATAAATAGGGAAGGAAACATATTTGTGGTTGGAAGTGATGAAAGTGTGTTACCAGACGATGTTAGAACTTTCCTTAACGAGATGGGAATTTACCCAGCACCAAAGGGTTTCAAGTACATCGACCATTTCAACTCAGTAAAGGGAACTCCTCAACTCACTAACGAGAATATTGTTAATAAGAAGGTTCTTGGGGAATTTACTGAGGGCGAACATGAGTACAAGGGTACTGGTGCGTTGATTTCGAACAATGAAAATATTTTCCCAATTGTCAGAAGTTCTAAAACTGGTTTTACTACTGACGAAGTAGAAGAGACTCTCAGCCAAGAAAAAACCTGGACTTTTGGCCAACAAGGATTTTTGGCTGTTGGTTTCCAAGGATTTAACAATGCCAGGTTGACATGGGTTGGTTCTGAGTCATTAATAAATGATGATCTACTCAAGTGGACTTTTCAAGAAAAGAATGTATTGAAATTACAGTTTGTCCAGCATTACAAGAGTGAAAACCCCGAATTCATTGATAACAAATTATACCGTATCAAAGATCAAGTAATTTACACCGTTGGTGTTTCTGAATTTGCGAACGACAAATGGATTCCATACGAAATCAAAGATGAAGAAGATAACTTACAACTTGCATTCAAGATGTTAGACCCTTACCAAAGAGTTAATTTACAACCATTGGGTCCAGGTTCCTCGAAGGAAGATGGCAATCTCGAAGATTTGTACATTTATTATGCTAACTTCACAGTTCCAGATCAACACGGGATCTTCACATTTGACTTGGATTATAAGAGATCTGGTTTGAGTTATATAGTTGATAAAAGGGTCGTGACGGTTAGACACTTGGCTAATGATGAATATAAGAGATCATGGGATATACCAAATTCTTGGTTATATGTGGCTAGTGCTGTTTTAGTTGTGCTTGGATGGTTTTTATTTGTTGTCAACTTTTTATATGTTGGTAATACCAATACTACTAAGAAGAATGTCTAAAACATCCACATAATAGAAATAGAATAAATAATCGTATTATTATAGTGTCTAAAAATAAACAAATATAGGATATTTCTATGTAAATTTTCAACGTTCTTTTATTATTCTTTTCCGCCTCTGACATGGTTAGGTTAGCAAGTAATCCCAATCATCCAATTTGATTAGTTTCATAAAATGATTCATTATGGAAAATATATGGATTTTCAAGCTAATTCATGATAACAAATTTTGTTGATGGCATTTTTTCAAAAACACGATTGCTCCTGCTTGCATTGTGAATATAAACTCTCTATCAAGCTTGCTAGTATCTCTTCTCCGGTCAGTTGCAACCTACGTTATAGTTAAACTGTAAATGAGAGAGATTTTCGCAGTTTTGTCCACAATCGAAGAAACCGACTTTTAGTTGATCCAATGTATTAGAAAGAACCTTTGCACTTCAGTAACCATGTCTACAGTTTCCGACGCTGAAAAGCAGCAAGCTCAAGATCAGAAGGCACAAGCTTTACAACAACAATACAACAAATATCAAGAAAATATAACTAATTTACAAACTCAACTCAGTACATTAACTTCTCAAATTCATGAGCATGCTATAGTCGACAAAACATTGAGTGGAATTGCTCCATCAGAACGTGGAAATCGTAAATGTTTTAAAATGATTGGGGGCGTACTTGTAGACAAGAGTGTTGATGAGGTGATCCAGATACTTAACGATGAAACTAAGAGCTTAAACGAAGAAAAGGCCAAGTTTGAACAAGAGTTAGTCAAGACAAGAAAAGAGATGGAAACGTGGATGAAAAGCAATAACATCAAAATTGTCAAAGGAGGAGCACAACAATAAGTCCTCACAATGCGTGTAATATAGTTTAGATAGTAAAGCACTAAAATTCGGTTAATATATAAAATTAATACAATTCCAAATATAATAAAACATAATGTAATCATTTCACTAGACATAACATATAAATACTACACTGCAATAGTCTTCAAATATTCGGTACGAGCTTCGCTATTCTTACCGGTATCTCTGTTAATAGCCTCCCATTTTGGCTCATCTTTGAATAACCTAACTGCCTTGACCTGTCTGAGCGCACTAGTCAAAGTGAAACGATGATAAATACCTGCTGGCAAGACTAGCATATCGTTAGGAACAAGCTTGGCTCTTATCCACCTATCCTGTTTATCTCTTACATCGAAATATCCTTCTCCTTCACGAATGTATCTTATCTCCTCATCTTCGTGGTAGTGTTCCTTATAAAATTGTTTCATTTTAGCGTTAAAAGCGTCCACGTCGCCACCAAATGAATCTAAGTTCAATGTGATCTCGTCTCTATTCTTATAGTCTCTTTTGATCGCAATATCGTCTAATTCGCTCTGACTTGTAACGTGGAAGTACTTCACTCCAAGCTTATCAAGATCTTCCACCGTCACTGTCTCTCCAGAGTTATGAACATCAGTAAAGTTTTCTGGGGTATCTTTGTTGTCGTGATAGAAGAATTCAACCATTATTACTCTATTTCTATAAGTTATTCAGAAGCTTTAACTGATAGTAACGATAAACGTTTATAGGTCCAAGCTATATAGCAATATTGCGACATTGTTGTGGCATGTGGTGAAATGTCGGTGACATTTTTAGTCCATAATATTTAGCGATGTCGAAAATAACGTGAATTATGGCCCTATTTAATAGGTTTTCATTATACGAATATGTTTAATAATAATAGTAATAACGGTAATAGTAATGGTAATCGGGGTTACAATAATAATAATCGGAATAATGAACGGTCCCAAGGATATAATCAGAATATAGAACAACAACTAGCATCCCAGGAGAAGAAGACTGCATATAGAAGAACAGTAGACCATGGTAATAATATGGGAAGATGGTATATCAATCGAAGTCTTGGGATTGACGATCAACCAATTGGTAAGATAAGGCCCGAGTCGTCGTATTTGATAGATTTATTGCCCTCTCCAGCATATGCGTCGAATTCGGTTAGACAGAATAAAAATAATATGTCCATCATGGATATTCAGACCAAATTTGTACATCTTTCATCTAACAAAGCAAAGCACTCGATTAACACGGTAAAATGGACTCCAGAAGGGAGAAGATTGTTAGTGGCGTCACATAGTGGGGAGTTCACTGTGTGGAATGGTATGACATTCAACTTCGAGACGATCATGCAAGCGCATGATCTGGCTATTTTATCGTTAAAGTATTCGCATAACGATGAGTGGTTATTGAGTGGTGATCAGAGTGGTGTTATCAAGTATTGGCAAACTAATTTTAATAATGTGAATATCATTAATGGGCATAGTGACGGGATTCGAGATATTGCATTTTCTCCTAACGACTCTAAATTTTTGACCTGCTCTGATGATTCAACGATGAAAATTTGGAATTTTAATAATGGGCAAGAGGAAAGAAGCTTAGTAGGACATCACTGGGATGTTAAATCTGCTGACTGGCATCCAAATTTGGGGCTTATTGTATCAGGATCGAAGGATAATTTAATCAAACTTTGGGACCCTAGAGCGTCCTCGTGTGTTTCAACATTACATGGATTCAAGCATACAATTACCAAAACTAAGTTCCAGCTACTGGTACTAAAAGATTATTAGCATCGGTATCTAGAGATAAATCGTGTCGTATTTTCGATTTAAGAACTATGAAAGACATCTTAGTGATAAGAGATCATGAAACAGACTTGTCTTGTGTTGAGTGGCATCCAGTTCATCCTTCCATGATAACAACTGCTGCATATGATGGGTCAATGAATCATTATATTATGGACTCATATATTTCAGATAACAATATCAAAAATGATAGCAATAATAATTCCACATCTCCAATCGAAGCATCACACAAAATTCCTTATGCTCATGAAAAAGCTATCCATGCATTAGAATACCACCCATTAGGCCATCTATTATGTTCTGCAGGTGCTGATAGATCGGCACGGTTCTGGTCCAGGGCAAGGCCCAATGACCCAATGTCTTTCCAAGATGCATTATACACAAACGAAAAAGTTGGTGCGTGGTACTATGGTGTTAATAACAATATTAATGCTGTTATTGAGCCATCGACTGCAAGTGTGAATAAGGATGATTCTTCATCGGCACCCGCTATCAATTTACCGGGGCTTAATAACTTACCAAATGGTAATGAATCGAGTACTAATGGATGGGGTAATATTCCAGGTTTGAGAGGTCATTAAATAAAGTACATAATTTATAGAACCAAAAGCATTCTAAAGTTTATTTTAATTCTACAAATACATGTTTATTGAACCTCCCGGTTAATATCCTCTATATATATCCTTATATAAAAATAACTCTAATATGTTCCCTAAATGAAATGAAATAATGTACAAATAAAACTTGAGCTCCAAAACGCTCTAAATATTATTCTTGCTTTTGTAAAATGCTTCCACTGCTTCGAAATATCTTTTCCCTTCCCTTTCTGGGTACTTTGTAATGAAATTTGTGAGATGTGTGACAATTTGGTTATCAGCTTGAATATCAACATCATTTGAATCGCCGATGTTTGTGAATTTGAATTTTTTACCGCCATTTATAATCTGAACATAAAGACTAGCTACATCTTTATATGTTGCGAGCTCTTTTTCGTTGATAGGATCATAGATCTTCTCGTAATGTTTTGCACGCTCTTTGAAGTCATGAACAGACGTATTATAGTCTTTTCCTTTGTAATCCGCATTAAATGCCTTACCACTTATATTAAAGTTTATCAAAGTCTCATCGTTGCATTGAATATCCATTAAAATCACATTATCCACCCGTATTGGCGTCTCCCTTATATATTGCATAATTTTATTTCTTCTTTCCAACGTAGTATTCGTCGCATCAAGAAACCCAACGTTAATGTTCCCCTTGTTCAAATCATGCATTAAGTTGCTCAAGGAGGTAGTGGCAAAGACCTCTCGTTCATACTTCGCCTTCAAGTTGTTAGGGTCAAAGAATTCCGAACTATTGAACGAATTATGCTTAAGTCTTCGGCGAATGTCACCGGCATTGTATATCTTAGTCTTGTGATTTTTTTGGTCAAAATAACCACAGAGTTGCTTGGATATCGTACTCTTACCTGATGCTGGGAGTCCAACCAAAATTATGACTGTTCGCTTGAAATTAAGCTTCTGCGATACCAACGTGTTGAATTCGTCTACTTCAAGAGCATTTTCCTTTAAAGTCAGTAAAAATGGTGTTGATATCATACTGCTAGCCGCAGTTTGTGTTGTGTTGGTTTTGAAAGCATCGCAATAGTACTCATTGTAATCAAACAATGAATTTATCGAAGTATTTGATCCTATTCTTTCGAAATGATTACCCCCATACGAATTTATTGGAGTTTGGTTTTCCTCTGTATCTTTTTTCATATTAATTTCTATACTTTTTCTTGTAGAGCTACTTTCTTGTCCTTTCAGTGCCTCGTGGTAATGCAAAGTATCCATCGTATAACTAGCAGCAATAGCTTCTGTTCTAACGATGTTTTAGAGTATTAAACAATAAGCGTTAAAATGGTATATTCAAATATATTTTATTCGTATTCTTATTAATTCTAATCTTACAACTTCATACAATTAACTAAGTAGATCAAATAATTAGTCACTAAAAAAATTGCAATATATATTCCATATTAATATGCAAGAAATTTTTCCGGTATTTATCTTTTCGGACTTTTTAATTTAAAGTTTCCGATGAGGACGTAATTAAAAATTTTTATAATATTAAAATTATATACATGCGTTGTAGAGATATCTATGGGTTGGGTTTATACATAACAGGATTGGCGTCCTTCTCCTCCCATTTCTCAGCCCTGGCTTTTCCTATAGCAGAATATACTTTTAACACGTTTGCCTTATCAGTGACTTTTTTGCGATCGGAAGATTGTGCTGCGTCCACATTATTCAAGGAAAATTCGTAATCATCATTTTGAGTTGATTCTAGATTCTTTTTGTGATTTGAAGTTAACATATCTGTAGTTGTGGCGAGTAAATCTAAATACTGCTTGGGGTTGTTGGGTAATCTTTTAATGGAGTATCTAAGTTTCCATGGTTGGTCTTTTGATCTCGGATATGCGTGCAACTCCTTGACAGGGGATTTTGCATTTCCAAAATAGTGGTCCACGTCAATACAATACGATAGTACACCTAGATCAGACTTTGTAGTTTTTTTATTGAATTCATTTAGTTCGTCCCGATGTCTAGTGAGGTTTTGAAGCCTTTCTTCGGGAGTGATTTCCTCTTTGTAACCTGTTTTGAATGTAGAGGGGAATTTTTGGAGCATGTGGACCTGTTCTTGATCTAATGGAACAGCCATAACATGCATTCTTTGTCTTGATGAGCCAGGTATCCTAGATGACTTCAAAACGAGCCTGAATGCAGTATCCTTGAATTCTTCTACTTGATTGATATCTTTGATGATCACTTTCAACAATTTTTCCCATATTTCTAATGACATTTTGAATTGGGTGTCGGCGACATATGATGGTAAGTCATCATCGATGTCCTCTAAGCTTGTGGCTCCTATGTGCCTGGTGATTTCATTTCTACTGTGGTTGTAGAATGTGCTATCGATTTCGCTCAAAGGCAAATACTGAAATCCAAAGAAAGAGTTGATGTTGTGATATGCAATGAAAATCCCATCCATTTGGCCGATTCTGGCTTGGAAACTGTACTTAAGTAATGCTCCTGTTCTGATCAAATCAATATATTCTCTTTCAAACGACTCAAGATTACCATTCAATTTCCAAATTTGATAAGTGTTATTTTCTAGGTCTGGATTTCCGCTATCATACCTAATAGCACACACTGCTCGAGTTTTCAAATCAAACGTTCCATTTCCTGGAAGTCTTTCGTCATAACAATCTAATTGAGATCTCATCAAGAAATCTCCATATGATGCATAATTATACGTATTCTGCGGTTTATCTTCTTGGTCCTCCATTTGTTGCTTATGTTGTAAGTCTAATATTTCCTGGTTCTTATAATTGAGTGTATATCTTTCGAATTCTTTTTCTTCGGTTGTTAATAGTGCCTCTAAACAATGACCCATGACTGACAAAAGGATCTCTGTGTCTGCTGATTTATCTGATTCTACCGCATATATCATTTCGCCTGTTTTAGAATTCCTCTCTTTTGGTTGAACAACCACACTACTTGCTACCCTCTCTATAGCACCAGAAAATTTGGGAAATGGAAACCTTTCTTCGGTATTTGGCATATAGTTATTTAATAGGAGGTAAAATTGAATCAAGGCGGATGTCATGGACGATGTAGAAGAGTAGAACTTTTTATTCTCTTGCTCTGCAACTTTCAATAATGATTGATCTTTAGATACACTAACAAAAGTTTCTATTGCATCGAAGTTGAACTCGTCAACTTTTATTATTTTCTTTAAATATGGCGTGAAATTATATATTCTTGTTCTAGGGTCTTGCAAAAAATGAACTCCTGGTGAAAATAAGGTTCTGTCTAATTTGTGAGCCAATCTGGCAATTTTTGATTTATCAAGTTGCTGGACCTGTTTGACGTCTTCATCTATGGATATTGTTTCACTGATTATTTCTATTGCCTCTTTACTTAATGGTGGTGCCTTATGCGGCTTGGGGCTTCTTGATGACTTTGGAAATGCTGCATGTTTGCTTAACGTGTTTCTTTTTGGCGGTGCCTTCGACAGAGGCTTGCCTGTAAATCCAACCAAAAGCTTGGAATTCGTCTTAGATCTTAAATTTCTTGTTGGTGTAGGGGCAGTTGTGTCTTCTGTCTTGATCGCATTCTGAACTTCTGGAGAAAGCACATTCCTATTAATATCTTGAGTATACTTTTTAGAAACCTTCTTAGTTCGTGAAAGATCTATTTCCTGGTCTAGGGTAGCGAATTCTTGATTTGTGACTCTAAGTTTTGAAGTGTGCTTTAATGCACTTGAAAGGTCCACAGGACTTATCTTTTGCTCTTCGCTTGATTTGGATTCTTCATTCTTCTCTTTCAATAAGGCCACAGTACCATGAATATTCCTAACTTGAGATAACCGAACTCTAAGAACTCCTTTACTCTCTCTTAACCCAAACTTTCGTATAACCAACATGTATTCTAGAAATATTCCTTCTTCTACTTGATTAGCTTCTTATACTATCAAAATACTAAAAAAATCTACTATAAGTCAAGTAGTGTATAGACCAATTCATCACTTCTATCATATCAACTTAACAAAATACATCGATATTTGAATAAAACGTCAATTAATCATCTAGCATTAACATAAAGAAATATATATAGTTTATAACGATGAACCCATAAGTAAAAATACATAATATAACAGCAAAAAAAGTAAAACCTCAACCATTGTCCCAAAATCAATAATCAAACACATAATATCGTTTAACAACTCTAGTTGTAAACCCTTCTATCTAATTCACGAAGAACATTAGCGACAGATTGGACCTCTACCTGCATTCCTCTAGTAGTTAATTTCCCAACCAAAGTGCTGAAATCAACCGAGTTAAACTTTTTGTGTCTAGACAAAGTACGATACGCATCAGAGCAAGGGATAAATATATCACTTCTCTCTGATGAAGTAGAACTGGTAGAATTGGAGACAGAGATTGATGGTAAGCTGGTCTTTGAGCTCAGTCTTGATATCTGAGAAGTATTTGATTCTTTCAGAGATGCTGGAGACTTTGAATCTGCGTCAGTAGAGTTGGATCTAGATTTTTCTTCATCCTTTTCTTTGTTTGCAACAGTCGTACAAAATAGAGTAGACATCGGATCCATCTGACATTGTTCACAAGTCCCTGGATTACCTGTGCAGCCACCAGTTTTCTTTTCAGGAGCTGGAGAGAATTCCTTATCAGGAGTCTCATTCGAGAAAACAGAGGAATTCGCTCTTGTAGTTGAAGCAACAACAGTTGGAACTGCTCCTGGAGATAAGTTTGTTATATCACGAATCTCTACCGAAGGACCTGGATGCATGACTGGTAAAGAACTCTTACGGAAATTGTTTGAATTCAATTGGATTGGTGGTAAAGACGTTGCCGTATCATTATTTTCCTCATGGGCTTCATTTAATGTGTCATTGAATCTTGCAGCTTCCTTGGCGGCTTCACGGCACACACATGGGGTATCATCGCTACAGAATCCACAATTGTCAACCGGAGATGATTCGTCAAATTGTGAGGCTGGCTCAGAAACATGTTTGTTCTTAGCAAGCATAGCGTTATTATTATATTGTTTCTTTAATTTTTTCAAGTCTGGCATTGGTTTACCAGTTGAGAACTTCTTAGTGAAATCGATCTCCTTAGACACCAGGTCAGTCAATTTTCTTTTTCTATTACGTAACGATACAGCAGGCATTGGCTTGAATTCCTTGATTGTCTCTTCCAATGATATTTTCTTTGCTGGCTCAGGATCTTTTAATCCCACAGTCTCACAGAGACATTCTTCTTTAACACACACGCCGCAATCGAACGAACTCGAGGTGGCATTATTCACCACTCGCTTGTCCGGTGAGTTATTATTCGAAGCGGGTGTTGACAAACTATGGTATGCGGAAACATTGGTAAATACTGGAGGAGAGTCAGCGGAAGGTGCTGGCGATATCTGTTGCACAGAATACGACGAGGACCCCGATGGCGACCCCGTAGAACGGCTATTCGGCGATGGGTTAGACTTGAAGTGAGATATAGTGTTATATTGCGAAGGCATTGTATTCTGTTGCATACCCACTTGGCTATTGCCACCATTCGCACTTTTGAGTGCATTCATGTCGTTCCTCAATTGATCTATACTTTTAAGTAAAAACTGATTTTCCACTTTCAACTTATTAATGGTATTAACCAATCCCATTTCCTTGACATCTCTTTCCTTCTCCACCTCCAATAACTTCTCCTCCAACTCTTGGACTCGTCCTGCTCGCCTTTCTCTAAATGCTCTTTGGGCAGCTCTATTCTGTGCCTTCCGTTTCGAAGCTGGTGTATCGATACTGGGCTTTCTTCCCGGTTTAGGTCTAGGGGGTAAAACCCATTCTTTGGACGTTATTATCTGCGTTACTCCCGATCCGCCAGAAGTATCTCCTGGTGACCCTTTTTTCGCTTGAGGTGCCCCTGTCCGCAAAAACTGCGGTGGGCTGTCCGCAGAAGGTGGTGTATTAGCAATAGCTATAGGCGATGGAGCTAAACTATGCAGCCTAGGAGCTATACTTGGGCCCTTAGAAGTCATATTTATTTGATAGATGCTAAATGCTACTAGTTAGTAAAAAAAAGCCTGAAATTTAATCTCTGTCTGACTAATGTTCGCTGATTGATCAGATAAAATTTTATCTTTTCCATCTGAAGCATGAGACAAGCCAATCATAGTAAAGATTATGTTACACAAACTCACCAATTGCATATTCTCGGTCCCACACTATAAACCTCCCGAAATCCGGAATTGCATATGGCCTGTAACCGTCTATACCATTATAACAGAATTCGCCAAGTAATATACTTACTCTCTAATTCTTTGTATTTCTTAGACCGTCTATTAAGGATGATAATCAGTACGGTATCTCTCGATTTTTTTGAACTATCGTAGTTTCGGATGATCAGACTAATAGCTTACCGCTGGGTATCAACAAAAGTACCTGAAAACAACTTGTGAGTTACACTTCACTTTCTGAAAGATGAGATAATATGTACACGAATGAAAGTGAATATGACTAAGCGGCGGGGGATTTGATGGTTTTTATACACTGATAAACATGTACTACAAAGCAAAGAACAATACCATATTATTTCAAGATGAGAAATGAGCAAACGATAGAAGGGTCGTGCATACTCCGATATCGGCCCCAGGGTTTTATAGCAACTTATATACATATATTTATGCATAACATAATTACAAAGATAGTATTAGAGGCACGGGAAGTGACAGAAGCGGTGCAAAGATGATAAAAGCATCTCTGAAAAGTTTAAAATGGGATTTGATTATATATAATGGTAGTTTAGACTTATTTTTGTTGTTGGGCTGCGGCTCTTTCAGCTTGAACCTTAGCAATGTCTTCAGCCGATGGAGCACCTTCGGTTATCAACTTGTTCAAACTGACCTTTCCGAATTCATCCTTCAATTTTTGTTCTTCTTCCATGAATTTTGGAGCATTTTCCTTCAAGTATTTCTGGAAATGCTCGTATTGTAATTGACCGTGTTCTCTGATGATGTCCAAAGGCATCTTAGGCTCCTTGTTGACACTAGTGGTTGGAACACCCATCAATGAGGCCAAGAAGTTACCGGCATTAGGTCTCTTAGCGTTGTCGAACAAGTGCTTGTTGTCTTTCTTCCATTGTTCTCTCAACTTGGTTTCTCTTTCGGCAAATTCTTGTACAATGTTGGTTTTGTCTTTGAAGGAGTTCAAAATTGGTCTGACATCCTTGACCGGTTGAGTAGCCAAGTATTCCAAGAATGGGATTAATTTGACTAATGTGTCATCGTACTTACCATCCCATGGCTTCATTGGGATTGCGTTTTCTGGTTGCATAGACCATGAGTCTTCTTCGACGTCAACCAAGACGGTCTTACCTAAGTCACGGTTCAATAAGGATAAATCTTTGACTAATTTTCCGTCTTTGTAACGGCAGGCTTCTCTGAATAAAGCGTACGAAACGTAAGCGTGGAATGGATCTAACTTACCAACAGTATTTTCCGAGTACATCTGGTAGTTTGACCCAAAAATAACAATTTCGTAGTACTGAGATAAGTAACCTAAAAAGTAATCTAAACCAGGTCTCTTACCAGTTCTCCATCCATGCTTAGTATCCCAGTCAGAGTGGATCAAAAAGTCATCTAAGGTCACTACTAAAGTTAATGGACGACGGTAAGCTTCAGGGGCTGGTGGTGGTAACAAATTTTCAAAAACAGGTTCAGAGAAAAATGTGAATAATGATCCTAATCTCTTATTAAGTCTACCATACATTAAGCTTGGTGCAAATCCGTTATCGATATCCTTACCTTCGAGCTTGGTTTGTTCTTCTTCTGAATCCCAATCACGGCACATGTATCCTACACCAGCAATTCCCCCTACTAATGTGGCAAGATAAAACATATTGGCATATCTTTCACGTTGTAAATCTTTAGAGGTCTGTGCTCTTCTCTTCCTTCTTGATCTTTGTTCTTGTCCATTTGGTTTCTCCTGTTCGTCTGCTTCACCATTTTCCGGTTCTTGTTGTTCAGACTTATTCTTTGATTCATTAGGGTCTTCGAAACCGGCTTTTGCTAACAAATCATCGGTCAAGATGGATTGTGGTTCTTCCGGCTTTTTATCTGCTTTCTTCGAATAAAACTTGATATTATGTTGGATTGGTAATCTAGTAGACTTAGTTGCAGAAAAGCGCAAAGAAGAACTTATAGTTCTTGACAAAAGCTTTGTATTCCTTAACATTATCCTTTAGTCAACTTTTCTTCTATTAACTATAGAAGACTGTAAGAAGCTATTCGACGATTTCAAGCGTTGAAAAATATTTTTGTGAGAGTATGGATTACACAAAAATTGCGATTAATTAACCATAGGAACCTTGAAGCAACAACTATTCTGTACCATGATAAGGATAATACCCGGAAGATACGCTAGAGAGGTGTGCCGGAAGTACACTTTTCTGAGACTTTACTCCTATACTCCAACTCCTCCGCAATACAAAAAAGGAGGAAATATACTTGCAAATTCATTGAAATATGTTCGACAAGTCGATGAATACCAAAAAGAACTTGAAAAGGCCCCCAGTCATGATAAGGTTGTGGAATTAATGGACAAAATAGAGAAGCATCCTGAATTATTGTTTATATTAGCTACATTTCATTACGAACTATCAAAAATCGGGATAAATCAGTCTACCGACCCAAAGTCCAGGTCGAAATTGTTGTGGAAATATAGATTTAATTACATATTGAAATATTCTAAGCTCCATAATATATTTTGGGAGCAATGCAGATATGCTAATATATCACAGCATATGCATGTATTGGGCTTCAGCCCGCAAGAAATCGGATTATTAGATCCTTCTAATTTTTCGGAACAGACGTATAATGAGTTGCAATCAGGCAAATACAAAGACCTGGTATTTAAAGACATTGAAATTATTACCTTTTCAAGACCGCCTTTCAAATAACGATACACAAGACAGACTACGTAATTAAATACACACATTTAAAGATATCGAAATTCTTGTATTCTCTAAACTTCCTTTTAAATAGTAATACAATGAAATACAGGTTATGTATTTCATTATAAATCAGATACAATATACAAAAAGATCCAAACGATGTCTAGCTCATGGTTTTGGAATGTGTAAGGACTTAGAAATCTCTGCACAACCTTGAATGAAAAATCCTAAGGAAATGGCGTGGAATTCGGCAAACGAACCATCTAATAAAATTGGACCTGGCAAGTCATCCAAGATCATGTTATGGTAGACCAAGAAAGCCATGAATACAACCCAAATTAAATTTGTAGGAATTGGTAAACCTTCGAAGTATTTCGACTTTCCTAATTTATCCTTTGGAAGCTTATTTGCAGAAATGTTAAATCTAGCTAATCTGGTTAATCCGCACAATACCCAGAAAGTCAACAACAACACATCGATAGTGCTTTGGAATCCAATTGCGAATGCAATGGTTGCTGGAGAAACGCCAAACGAGATCAAGTCAGCTAATGAATCTAATTCTTGGCCCATCAACGAGGTCTTATTTCTTATTCTGGCTACCCTACCATCAAAAAAGTCAAAGAATAACCCTAAGCAAATAAAAAAATGAGCTCTTTGTAAATAATGGGTTTGCCCAGTACTAGTAAATCTTAAGCATGAAATTATCGAATAAAACCCTGAAAATCCATTCATCAACGTGATGAAATCTGCCATGTGCAAATTTCTAACCAAACTGAAGTGTCTGGAATCCGATATGAAAGCAACATAGTCCTTTTCTTCGGGTTTTGGTAATGCTTCTTTAGAAGACAATGAAAATAACGATGAGCTTCTTCTTATTGGCGGCTGAGCTGCATTACGATCAATAACTTCAACGTCTGATTCGAAGTCGGAGGCTATAGCTGATTCGTTCTTTTTTATACCCGATGAATATCCACTAGACGACATATTATGAAATCAATTTCAATTTGTTTAATATATTTTTAGATTTTTCTTTCTAACCTTGCAATTGAGTCTATAGATTGCTCTTCGATCTCAGTATGTGATTTATTTTGAAATATTAGAAAAAGATGTTTCAAACTGTAATCAATGTTTTAATAGAACCTAATTTAATCAATTGATTCTTTAATATCCAATAAAGACTAGTATTAAACGCTGGAAAATAGAGAACAAAATACGTTGGTCATTGCTTGTCCTTTAACGTGCTCAACTTTAAAAATTCTTAGCAATCGTTTGCACGTGAAAATCTTCAAACCTTTTAAGGTGAATAGTTGTATACTAAGTGATACTGTAGAATGTATATATCTATAAAATGCAATATATTGCTACGTTACTGCTAAGAATTATAATTTAATTAATGATTAGAACTAACAAATACCTTTGGGATTTCAGAACTCGAATTCTGGCCCGAGGAAAGGTCATTATTTGATTCCTGTTGCAATCCGTTTTGCTTCAAATCACTTGAACTAGAACTTTGGGGGAAATGAAAATTCTGAGAACGATTCAAAATATCCTTATTGGTGTCCAACATTTGCTGAAGTTGACTTTGTTGAGCCATTGATATAAGAGAATCGTTCGATGAGACACGAGAGACACTTGCCAGGTTTGAAGGACTCAATACAAAATATTCTTGTTGAGGACTAAGAGATCTTTGGGTATTGTGGCTTTGTTGTTCTAATTCTGCCTGTTTAATCTTCAAGTTCAAAATCTCTTGTTGCTGTCTTAAGTATTCCTGTTGGACCTGCAAATAAGACTCGTGTTGTTGCTGATGGCCCACAAGGTGAGGACTTGAATTCGAGGAGGCCAAAATAGGTGGAGATAACGTAGCATTACCTATTAATATTTGGTTTGGTGAGTAGTTTGGCGAAGATAAGTTCGAAGCCGAGTGGTTCGAGAAAGTTCTCTCGAAAGGATTTCTCTCGACTAACACCTCGTTCGACAATGGTGATCTAATAACAGGTGATTGAGATCCAGAACCACTATTGATGGGGCTACTCATCAAGCTGCTAGCTGGAAAGTTGGCCAGCGAAATGCTGTGTAAGTTTAATGGACCTGGTTTATTCGAGTTAACGTTACCAATTTTATCACGAATATTCTGTTCATGAACACCCGCAGCTGCAAGAGCCGCTGCTGTAGCCTGCTGTTCGTGGGTAGTCGGTTGGTCTGATGCTCCTTGAGTTTCATGTTTCTCATTTGCTGCATGGGCTGCAGCATTTGCTTGTTTCTCACGCAACTTTTGTTCATGAATTCTCTTTGTCTCTTCCTCTTTGGCCGTCATTTTGTCTTGAACCAATTTGAATCTTCTTAGATGTTCATTACCAAACTGTAACAATTCCTGAAGGTCACCATACCAATTGTTATAATCGTTTACGCTTTTACATTTAAATGTGAACTTTTTACTTGTGTTAGAAACCCTTTGCAAGACAAACTTAAAGTTCTTAGCATCCTTACTATGTAAGATGTAGTCGTTCAAGTTGTAGGATTTTAATGGGACATCATTATAATCAATCAAACCGCCCTTCTTTTCCTTTTTCTTTTGGTTTGTCAGTGGTGGTGTTGACGTTTGTTTCTCGTCATTGTTGTGTTGATGATCATTTTCAATCTTGAATTCATGTAAATAATTACAAGTTAAGACGTAAAAATGCCCACTATAATTTTTCAAGATCTTCAGCTTCTTGTAAATTATTCCTGACCTAATACATTTATTATGAATAGAAGTAGCATATGGCAAAGTCAATTTGCTCAAATTACGAATCTCTCTCTTCTTCGAAACAGGAGTATCGACGTAGATATTGAGAAAATTTTTATTATGAGATATGAAATACTCCCAATAAGCATTTGAAGACCTCTGTAACTTATTTTTTAATGCATCAAAAAGACTGACCATAGCAATTTCATCTGACTCGCAAGATTCTTGATTGATTAACTTACCAAACCTTTCAGTGATGAAATTTAATTCTTTCAAAACATATGTCAACAAATCCTTGGAGATATTTTGCAAATTCAAATACGATGCAAAAAGGAAGTTTTCTTGAATTAATTGATTCTTCAATTGATGGTCAACCTTTAATTTAAGTAAGAACGGATCATCCAAAACCGCCTTATCTTCTTCTCCCTCAATTTCATCAATAGCTTTCTTGAAAACAGGCTTAGGGCCAGAATACCTCTCTATGGAACTAGTATAGGTGGTTAATATTTTACCAGTCTGACTGATTTCCTTTGCAACTTCATCGTTTGCAAACGATTCATTTTTCAAACTTGACCTAATTTCTTTTATTTTGAGAGATAAGTTCTTCAACAAACTCTCCAATCTTGGTATCAATTTTGTTTTCAATTCCTTGTAAGTTTTCATCTGTGCCTGAAACGTATGAAGATGGTGATTGATGAGAAGCGGCGACAAATTAGTAATCACTGAATCATTAGGGAAAAACTCCGGTGGTATTCTCACATCGTTAGTATTATGTGAGCCTGGCAATGCCAGGATCAGTCCTGATTGATGGCCCCCTATTGACATTGGCAATGGCAATGATAAGGAGCTATTAATATGATTAGGGATATTCTTGAAAAATGTAGAACTACTCGTGTTTCGTTTGTGAGAGTTAAAGTTTTGGTTCCCAGTGGAGGTGGGTGTGCCACTACGCTTCATGAACGTCGAGTTATTGGATTTGGTCTTGAATAAGCCTGGCCTTTTGTCATTTGAAGTAATGCTTGCATTATCTGCATTCTCTCCTGAGCTACTATTTCCTCCGTGGTTGCTCTGAGCATTGGATCCAACGCCTACTGAATTCCCACTATTAGCCAAACTCGTTCCGGATAGCGTCTTTTTCAACTCTTTGTTCGGAGTCCCTGGTTGGGAATTATGGCTTTCTAGAAGCGATTGATATTTCAATGGCAAGTCTTTGAATCCCGGGAACTGAACGGAACTGATCAACTGGTAGTTGATATTAGCAGAAAACTCCTTACTCACACTGATCTCTTTCAAATAAAATATGAGCGACTTAATGAAATGCTTCCAGAACTTAAAATATGCGATCAAATCATCGATAGGCTTCGAGTCCCTATTAGGGACATTAATGTGGTATGGCGACCTAGTATCGCTACCTGGTAGAATACTCTCTTTCTCGAAATGAAACGACATGGTATATCAAGTTATTTGACTAACTATCAATATTTCACCTGTTTAGTTAGAACAATCTATTAAAAAGTGCTATATATAACTCCTTTTATATCGGTGAAATTCCTAATGATCCGAACTGAAAGGAGGTGCAACGGTTTTTAATGATATTAGTGTGCAGGGACGGTTCACGGTAAATCTAGAATGATAAAAAATCCTAAAAGCCTTCCTTTTTATACTCTATTCAGTGAACCTCAGAACTAAATATAAGCCTTGATTACGGAGGGAATTACGGTGTTGGTATAATAGATTTATGTATCGAATCTCTAGTGTATATAGTAATTGTTTTAAAATATTGCTGCTAAGGCAGGCAGAAAAAAACTCAGGCGAGTTTTTCGGGTGTCTGGTGATGACTCCTCCGATCCGCCCAAGTGGCAAGATCTTGAAACCAAAACCAGGCGTAAATTCATTCTTAATATATATATATATATATATATATGTGTGTGTACGGATGAAAATGTACCGGAGATTAAGTATGGCTGTGGAGTGAGATATATTGCATTGCTGTTTGATACACTTGCGGAATATATAGAGTATGTGAAAATGAGCCGCATACACTAATGAAATGGATGCAAAAACCACAATAATAGGCATGTAGTAAGTTGGGCGTTGAATTGCATCAGTTAAGATACTTCTTATATAGAAACTGACACCGGGTCAGATATTGCTATATCTTGCTACAATGACAAATATTGCCACTTCTAACTCTATTCGACTTAAGATCAAAAAAATTATTTGGGACGAGAGTCGGCACCGGTCACAGACAGAACTAGAAGGTGATGGATCAATATGTGAAGAATCTAACGAAGAAAATTTAAATACTAATTTGGAAAACGAAATCATGCTGGAAGGGCTTGAGGTGTTTAATAGATATCGAAATAATGATATTGTGGGTGAAAGATACAGAAATATTGACGGGAATAGTGTGTGCGCAATGAATAGATCCAAGGTAAAAGAGGTATTTGGAGAATTGCTTGATATGGATTTTGACACCAGTTCGGAGCTGAATGAAGATGATGAGTCGGTGATGATGGAGCTCACTCCATTTGAAGAGATGCCTTCGAGGACCAATTCTTTTAGGCAGTCTATTAAGAATAAGCTTAGGAAACTTCTCAGTAATTCGCCCACAGAGATGCTAAACAAGTTAGAATACGAAGGAGAGAACTACTCACCTGTATCGATGAAAATACCTGTTATCGAAGATGCAGAACAATTCAATAGGCTAGATACTCTGCTTTTCGATCTTCAAGATGTTGAGGATCCAAGGATCAAATTTAATCAATTCGTTGATGTGTTAGTCTACAACGGGAACTATAACACCCCAGGAGGTAATTCAAGTGATACCATAGGAAGTGGAAGATTATGGAGAAATTTATCTTTACGTAAGAGTTCCTTCAGGAATAATTATACGGCTTCTAAATCACAAAGAGTCCGTCCAATCCTCAAGAGCAAAACCAATGAAAACTATGAATACGAAGCCTTCCAAATAAGAGAATTTGATAAAATCAATTTTGAAAACTTTATGAATAATTTTGAAAACTATGAAACATGCAAGCTAAGCCAAGAACCATATTTGATTGATGCTAGATTAAATCAATTAAAAAATTATTATCATTGTAATAACAAAGCTTGAACTGTTCATGTTTTCCAGACTTTTAGATACTTATTGAAATGCACATATCATATAATAGCTGACTATATGTAGGCATATAATGTAGATTAGGTCAATTTATATAAATCTTGTCGACTTTGGTCAATATAATCGATACGAACTAACAATCGACCATATCCTACAACTAGAGTAAATCCGAATTTATATCCATATTCTGGATTAAATTTCATCACAATATTTATCATATAGACTTGAGAATAAAGTTTATCATATGTAAAATATCGTTAGCCTTGTTTCATTCGTTCGCTATGGCAGGTGAGACTCTTTATCTCCAAACGTTTATTCTGTAGTTGTCAATTTTACTTTCCTTGTGATAAACTTAATTTCTTAATTGATGTCATTTAGTCATTTCAAATCGGTATAAGAAATATGTGCAATCTTATTTTCTGCCTGTCAATGACATCTATTAAGTTTGCCTACTATTCCACACGTCTCAGCTATTGGTATTTGAAATTCATAAATTATTATTTAATATCTCGAACTGAAAAAATTGTCTCTAATTCATATACTCTTCATGGACAAACTAACGATCCTAACGTCTAAAATTTTCGTCTTACGTTGATACTAAAATAGGTATAATGTCATGAATATTCAGAATTCTCTTCAACTTGATTCTTTGGTCAATGGTTTCAGTTCTAATTCAAGTAATCTCTTCTTCAATGGTATTCCCCAGCGATAACCCGAAATTTGACCCAGTTTTGTTACAGCACGATGGCAAGGTACGAACAAAGCAATCCTATTCGCCCCACAAGCAGCACCCACTACTCTAGTAGACTTAGGCTTTCCCAAATTAGAAGCTAACTGCGAGTAGCTTACCGTTTCCAGTGCTTTAGTATTCATAAGCTGATTCCAAACTTTTCTTTGTAATTCCGTCCCAAAAATGAATTCATATGGTATCTGCTTATGCATAGGATTAATCAATCTAGGATCTTCCGTCATCAACCTAAATTTCTCTATTGTTTCTGACACTTCTGAATTTGCCTTCCCTACTATCGGTTGGAGTATATAATTCTTTAAACGAGCGAAATCTTTCGTCATCGTAGCTATCAAAATTTCTGGATTTGCCCCAAGCGATGCATAATAAAGGGTGCCATGCGTATTTGTGACGATAAGTACCGTTGTATAGCTCACATCTATAATAGAATATAATAAATATTTGCTCTTCATTATGGATATAGTTTTGCACAATATTCGCACATAGAGACAATCTTAATCTTTATATACACGAGATGTAAAACATTGAAAGCAAAAAAATATAGTGCTTAGCCTGTGTCGAATTTGCCGAAATAATAACATTGTTAGCATTTAATAAGCAATCTATTTCATAATCAATCATGCTTATGTTATGGAATGACGTCTAATTTCATTACGTGGAAATATTTCTTTATTTTTCGATTGGTGTTGGTGTAGGTAAGATGCTGCGAATAACCATTTTGCTGACTATTTCAAGAGGAATTTTTTATTACTAAACAACGCTTCTTTCTCTTAACATAAACAATGGGCCTTTATTCGTCCACGCGTCCAAGACGATTAATGTATAATAGTGACAGTTGTAAAGATCGGTATTAAAATTAATATTCCCACACCCCCGATCATGTAATCTAATACTGATTAGATTAACAAAGAAAAGTTAAAGTGAGTAACTGAAGAATAGACAAACTATCGAAAAAGATAAGAGACATATTTAATACATATCAGAAATTGAATAGAGAAGTTATCGAAAAAGATAAGAGACATATTTAATACATATCAGAAAGCTACAATAAACTTTGTAATCTATTTTCATAGAAGTTAAACATGCCGCATTTTTATGCTTCCTTAAGAAAGTATTTAAAGGCTCAAAAATGTTTATCGTTCGTACCTGAATTTAGTCCAATCAACGATCATGCAATTACACTAAGGCATTGTATTCAGAGACTATTCATAAGGAAATGTGCTGCATAATATGGTACTAAAAAGAACTTCAGTTAATTTGATCGCTCATTTCATCATATCAGGTGATCGATGCAACCAAAATTTATCAATGAATTTTATATTATTAATCGAAAACTACTTTCAAAAACATAGTAAATAGTACTATATTATACAAGTTATAGCATCATGACAGTAACAGGACCTGTAAATTTATCTGCTGAACATTTGCAGCATTTAAACGAAAAGCTTCAGAAATTATCGCCAGAAGACATCATTAAATGGGCTTATGTTACTTTTCCAAACTTATATCAAACCACTGCATTTGGATTAACCGGATTAGTTACTATAGATATGATCTCGAAGTTAAAACCTGAAGAGGGTCATTTGATAGACCTTATTTTCATTGACACTTTGCATCATTTCCCTCAAACTTATGATTTGATTAACAACGTAAGCAAGAAATATAACTCTAAGATCCACACATTCAAGCCGTTAAACGTCGAGACAGAAGCTGAATTCTCCCAGAGATACGGCGATCAATTATGGGAGACAAATGACTCGTATTATGATTTCTTGGTGAAGGTGGAACCTTCCCAAAGAGCATATAAAGAATTGCAAGTCGTGGCCGTGTTAACAGGTAGAAGAAAGTCCCAAGGTGGAGCTCGTGGTACATTGCCTGTTATTGAGATTGAAGAATCAAGTGGTACTATCAAGATTAACCCATTATGTAACTGGGACTTCAATCAGGTTAAGAGCTACATCGACGAACATAATGTGCCATATAATGAATTATTGGACTTAGGCTATAAATCTATTGGTGACTGGCACTCGACTGTTCCCGTTGCGGAAGGTGAAGATGAGAGAAGTGGTAGATGGAAGGGAAAAGCCAAGACTGAATGTGGGATTCACGAAACTAGCAAGTTTGCGCAGTATTTACAATCGACTGAGAATTCTACTGCTAACAATTAGATCCCAAAGGTCTTTTGCTGATTCATTCTTTCGTTAATATATGATACCTGTAAACCTAACTCATATTAACCAAAGCACATTATTACATGCACCAGGTATCACTACTCATGCTAGTTCTAAAAGTAAATTTATAGAAATAAATTTGTTTGTATAGTATTACCATTATGATTAATATCATCGGTACGATTATGTGTAGACCTTAACTTTTCGTTATGTTTTATATTTTGTGGCCGTCAAATCGAAGAAATTCTGCTTATGTACGTACTAAACCCTCAATACATATAGAGGTCATCAAACTTGCATATGAGCAAAGAATCTATTTAGTTATAATTTAGATACTTAGATCGGATAAGAATACTGAAAATACCCAAGACTCTATATGATTGTTTATTGTTTCGTCTATTAAGGTATTTACATTTATAGGCTTATTTCTTTGTATGAATATTTCCTTAAAGCTGCAAACGTGTATCCTGTTTGTGGGGGTGTTACCCTTTATACCGATACCTCCGTAAACGGGAGTTTATATCAATTGAAATTGGAATACCGTCTATTGAAATGTTCGTCAAATGAACAATCAATCATTAGTTATTCTTTTCCAATAGATAAATAATCATATTGATTTAACAAAACAGACTACGAAAGATTGATTTTACTGTCTGTCGTTTAAGTTGAAGTAGTGCAATAGATTAATCATTAATCATTAGTTATTAATCATGCTTCCTTTTGCCATACCATATCCACCAGAAAAAGACAATGGATTTTGGGGAATTCCAACATCTACAATTGACTGGTGTGAAGAAAATTATGTTGTATCTCCATATATAGCAGAGGCATTGAATACGCTTACAAATTCGGTGTTTATTGCTTTGGCATCCTTTGCTATATTTCATGCTTACAAGAATAAGTTAGAGCCTAGATTTCTCTTGATTGGGTTTGGATTTATGTTAGTCGGGATAGGATCGTGGTTATTCCATATGACACTTAGATATCATTTCCAGCTTCTTGATGAATTACCGATGATCTACGCAACTTGCATTCCCTTTTGGTCCGTTTTCAGCGAATTCAAGACTCAAAAAGAGTCGATTTTAGTTGGTATTGGTATCTTTGTGGCTGCGAACACACTAACCGCTATTTATTTGTACTTTAAGGATCCAACCATTCATCAAGTCTCATATGCACTTTTGAATGCTTGTATTATATTTCAATCGATCCGCTTAACTCAAGCACATGTGCATGATGCAAGTGCCAAAAGGCAGCTATATAGAACCATGATCTTTGGTGTTTCAATATTTATACTCGGGTATTTCTTATGGAACGTGGATATTCATTTATGTACACCTATAAGAGCTTTGAGAAGAGACTGGGGTATGCCATATGGATTCGTGTTGGAAGGACATGGATGGTGGCACATCTTCACCGGAACTGGTGTATATTTCTATGTCGTTTACGAAGAATACTTAAGATGTTTTTTGACTGGTACAGAAAAATTTTTCAAGTTTAAATGGATCTGTGGTTTACCAGTTGTTAACTGCATTGATCCAAAAGGTTTAGATAAATTCATTGAAGTCAAAAAATTGGCAGAAGCCGATGCAGAATTTTTATTAAATGAAAAGAAAAATAACTAGTTCTTATATTTATAGCTTCATATATAGTAAATATCACAACATACTAAGTACTTCATTTATGTATTTGTCGTTCTGAATCGTTCCAGCATAGTCTTCATTTACTAATTTTTTGAGGATTTGAATTGCCTTTTCGGACTCAACAGTACATTTGGAATCAGAGTCGTAGCACATAGTCTTCCACTTTTTTAGAATTTCTTTCAAGTTATTGATCCCGCTATTAATCTCATCGCCTGAGCATTTGGTTCTTTTGTTTTGAATATACTGATCTTCGTCGATAGAATTGGAATTTTGTAACTCTGAAGCCTTTCTCTTCGCCATATTGACGATTTTATTTGGAAATTTGACTAGTTCAGCGACATGTATACCAAACGATTTATCTGAAATACCTGGTTCGACCTTATACATCAAAGTAATATCATCTTCGTCATTTTGTCCATCATTCTTTTCAACGTGTGCAACAACATGCAAATTAGTAACTTTATCATTATATTTCGTGGATAATTCAGTCAATTCATGGAAATGAGTGGCAAATAACGTGAAGCAATTCTTTTCACTTATCAAATGTTCCAGGATGGACCAAGCCAAACCAAACCCATCATATGTACTAGTACCTCTCCCCAATTCATCAATTATAATTAACGAATTGTGGGAAGCGGCAGCCAAAATAGACGAAGTTTCTAGCATTTCAATCATAAAAGTAGATAAACCTTTTAATTGGGAGTCACCAGCACCTACTCTTGATAAAATAGCATCGAATATAGGGATTTCAGGGGTGGAAGAATCCTCACTAGCTGGTACGAATGAACCCACTTGACTCATTAACGCAATAACTCCTACTTGTCTGATATAAGTTGATTTGCCACCCATATTTGGACCCGTTATGATAACAAAAGATTTGCCCTTGGAGTCAGCATTACCATTTGGAGTTGATAAGTAGACATCATTAGCAATAAAGTTGATATCATCTTGCACCTCCAATACAGGATGTCTAGCTTCTTCTAGTTTGATTTTTCTTTGTTTATGTTCCTCAGATTCAACTGAGCTACTAAGAGGATGTAACAATGGTTTGACGTATGGAATAGGAGCGAAGATGGCAACATTTGCAAAACTAACTAATACGTCTAAATGACCCAATGTCAAAGATAACGATGTGAATACCAGTTGATATGTTGCCGTGATTGATAATATTTCTTTTATTAATTCTCTCTGTTTTGTATTATATTCACTCGAAAATTCTTGATATTTTTCCGATAATGATCTTAAACTTTTTGAAGTGAAGAATACACCTGCTTTAACCGTTTGCAATTCAATATAGTTATTTCCAGTGTTTCGCAATACAGATGAATCATTTCTAGTTACTCTAAAACACCATCCATGCTGTTGATGTTTTTCTAATTTTAATTTCTTTTCTATTTCAATCCCTAAATCTTCACTAACTTCAATGTGACAGTTTTTGATATTCGACAACGTTTCTTGCAAATTATCATTAATTGCAATCAAAGATTCATCAAATTCAGGCTTTATATTAAAGTCAGTATTCAATAAATCATGGGCAGATGAAGATTCCAAAGGTGACAAATCTATAGTAGTTTCGACTAGTTCTTGATACTTTATCAAAGATTCATAATTCTGGGATATGGGGTTTAACCAGTATTTTTTGATCAACAGTCTTATATCTTCGCTGGTGCTTTCTTCTTCAACGATATTCGATAAATGAGTAATTAGTTGAGGTAATACAAGGACCAATTGATAGAGTCTGATCACGTCTTCTAGCTTTTTATTCTCGTTTCCGACAGTCTTCTTTATACCGTTGGATATTTTCTTTAACAATCTTTTGACATCAGGAACTTGAGATAACCAATCTTGTGAAAGGAACACTCTAAGATTTGTATCTTCCATAAGATGATTAACTAAGAGGTGCCTTTCATTAATATCTCCTAGATTTGTTAATGGCTGTTTTAACCACTGAGACAATAATCTCGAACCTACTGAAGTCTTGCACTTATTTAAAAGTTCAAATATTGAGGTGACATTAGACGATTTTGTTATCAAATTATTGGAACTGCTTGATTGTGCTGGGAAAATATTCAACGCCTTCATGGTTGACAGATCTAATTTCATAAATGCCGATAAGTTGTACTTATCGATAGTGAAATTAGGCGATTCATGAGAAAACAAGTCCAAATAATGCAATAATGCATTGCAGCAAGAAAAGGATAAAGAATATTCAATTGAGCTAATACCTTTTGAGCCTAGCACAACTTCAATATTATTTGCTTCATTGGTGGTTGCTATAAACTTTCCTAAGTCTTGTTCAATATCCTTATTAGTGAATAATGAAGATTTCACAGAACTTATCACTATTCCTCCAATTTTGTCTAAAAGTTGGTATAATTTAATCACCTCATTATTCTCATCCAGTGGGTCGTAACTTGACGGTAATATAACCTCCTTGACCCCTAATTGCAACAATAAACTCTCCAAGTTCGAAAAAAGATCGTTATCGTCAAACTCGGATACTTGTATGCTATTGTTCAGTAAATCAATTAAGCATATACCAATCTTTCTCAGAGAGCCTACTTGTTGATACTTGATCCCCGCTATCATAGGTGCAGAATAGTCCTTTATCATATTCTCCAAATTCACTCCATATTCATTAGACAAGCTCTCCAAGTTCCCTGGCGTAGCCATCGCAATTATTTGGAATGTCTTGCTATTGTAAATTTCCACCTTATAATTATTATCGATCAAGCAAAACCTCAAAACATTATTACTGAATACTTGAGGCGAAATAGTCACATACTTATTTTTATGTGTTTGATTATACTTAACTACCGATTGTGTTTTGTAAATATTATCTGCAATCAAATCAGCGTCTTCGTCAAGGGCCGTGAAATAATCTTTATTATTATGGTCAATTATACGAATAGTGGACGATTCTTTAGGAGGAAGATTACTGTACTTTCTGTAATATTGTCTTTCATCTCCCGTATCAGCAAACTTAAGGTCTGGTCTAGTACTGGACATCTTTACTTTACAAGGAATAAGAAGATCAAAAACTCTACAAACATTGAAAGCCTGTTATCATAGTCTAATAAAAAGCGCGTTCGCGTTGCTTAATATATTCCTGTATAAAACTTAACCTATTCTACTCTAGAGCCTATACAGAGTACTAACGCACACTCAATCCTAATGAAGACTCAATTGTAATTGTATCTACTAGATTGGTAGTCGAATGGCGGCTGGCTGTCTGGGTGCCACTCGTTTTGGTTACCATAATGGTTATCGTAGTTTTGTTCTGCGTATCTTTGCGCATTACGCTTGGCTTCCTCTCTATCTAAGTAGTCTAACCCTTTGGTCTCAAACAACTTGTCGACTTCAGCGCCTGCAATACCAGCAATCATCTCTTTGGCAAACTTGTGAGAGACAGGCTTTCCTTCCCTTCTTTGTCTGTCTTCAAATAGTTTTGCAGCTTCAAAAGATGCCGCACCTGCAACCAATTCGTGAGAAAACTTTCCCTCATGTTCTTCACCGTAGACCTTTTGGTGGTCTTGCTCGTAGTTGTTGTCGTGGCCGAATCCAAACATTTTAATTAATAATCTTTTATGCGTTTAATTGTGGGTTTTTAGTAGTCGACATTGAGATTCAGGAGGGAGGCCATTGCTATTTATACCTACCGCTTACGTCACAGTAGGTAATACAAACCCCTTCCCCCTAACTGGTATAGCCCATACTCGTTGACGTGTTAATACGGGAGTGAAAACAATAGGTGTCATCTAAAAGAAAATATATGTCCTGTGCGTGATCTCGGAAGGCTTATGAAACTGCAATAGTGTCTGCGATTTCCATGCACACGTTGAATTTATGAACAATTTGACGTCGATTGTTCATCCATGGCGGATAAATCATGGTGCCATGAAACGGAACGTCAATCTGGTCATTCTGGAATGTTGTAACTATGATCTAAAATGCAGGAATCTACCACCCATGGGATCAAAAGAGTAGTGAAAATATCATCACCAGTTACCAGCTTATGATTATCTTGAGTCATATTATGTAATCAAGATTAATTAATACTAATCTATACACGAGTCAGAAAATTTTCAGGAGTCCTCCCATAAAAATAGTACGAAGGGTATTCAATTGAACTTATTAACTAGTTAAAGACCAGAAGAGATCATGGATTCATTACACACCACAGAATTAGACGGAATTTTACCTTTGGTTTGTAAGGGTAAGGTTAGAGATATTTATCAAGTAGATGATGAAACTTTATTGTTCATTGCTACAGATAGAGTTTCAGCATACGATGTGATAATGGAAAACGGTATTTCATCCAAAGGAAAGATTTTGACTAGAATTTCTGAATTCTGGTTTGAATTCCTATCCAGCAATATTCCAAACCATTTGATATTATCAAATAATGACGATGAACATTTGTTCGCCAGATTACCAGCCAAGTTATCAGAACCAAAATATAAACAGCAAATAAGTGGTAGATCTTTATTGGTGAGAAAGTTAAAATTGATTCCATTAGAGGTTATTGTTAGAGGTTACATTACTGGTTCTGCCTGGAAGGAATACAAGAGCAAGAAGACGGTGCATGGCTTAACTATTGACCAAGATGATTTACAAGAATCCCAAGAATTTACGAAGCCAATTTTTACCCCATCAACCAAAGCCGAACAAGGAGAACACGATGAAAACATTTCACCAGAAAAGGCAGCCGAAATTGTTGGGCAAGAATTGTGCGATAAATTGGAAGCAAAGGCCATTGAATTATATTCAAAAGCCAAGGAATACGCCAAATCGAAGGGCATTATTATTGCAGATACTAAGTTTGAATTTGGTTTGGATAAAGACAACAACCTTGTTTTAGTTGACGAGGTTTTGACTCCTGATTCATCAAGATTCTGGAATGCAGCTAATTATCAAATTGGTAAATCCCAAGATTCTTATGATAAACAATTCTTGAGAGATTGGTTAACTGCCAATGGTTTAAATGGTAAATTTGGTGTTTCAATGGATGAAGATATAGTCGTTAAGTCAAAGGAAAAATATATTGAAGCATATGAATCTTTGACTGGTAAGAAATGGTCCGAATAATTAATTTGTTTTTACGGATATGATATTGAAACCTAATTAATGAACTTATATATATATGTATATATATAATTAATGCTAGATATGTTACAAATTAGTATCAAATTCACACAATGTAAACTGACAATAACTATTTTTTATTACAATCTTGAGATGGGATATGTATTTCAGTTGCTAAAAGAACCCATCTGTCCCATATTCAAATTTCATTCGTTAATCATACATTTAACCATACGATACCTGAGAATAGTCAATTTACTTTAATTGATTTGCCAAACATTAGTGTCTATTCTTTCTCATGTAAAGTTCCTCAAATTCCGGAATATTTCTCTTTTCTAAGCTTAGTCTCTCTAATTCATCCGTAATCCTTTTCTTATAGTTATTTCCCAGAAATCTCGTTGGTGAAGATTTATATTGGTCTGGATGATATACGCTGGAATCGTAATCACTATTTTCGCTATTTCTTGTTTTCAATGGGATTCGTCTCGTAAGCAGTGGAGACAATAGTTTTGATTGGTCGTCTAATTGTAGCTCCTTCGGTCCTTTTGGCTTATTTGGCAGAACAATATGTTCATTAGATGCAGCATAATGGTTAGTCAGGTACATGTTATTCCTAGTTGTTACTTTGCTTGGAGATGGTGAGGATAATGGATCAGATTTCTTCCTAGTTAATTCTTGATAAGGCTGAGGTTGTTGGTATTGTAGGTGTTGATGCTGTTGATGCTGTTGATGCTGTTGATGCTGCAGTTGCTTCTGTTTACTTAAAACATCTTTTAGTCTTACTTGAACTTCGTGTTCCACTACCAATTTAAATTCCCTTTGATAACCAAGCCTAACTTCTTTTGCTTCCTGATCCATTGATTTTTTTCTCATTTCAAACTCTTCAAGTAGCTCTTCTTCTAGTTGTTTTTTTTGTGAATTACATTTCTTTTGCATATTATTATATTCATTTTCTAGATCTTCCCTTTGAGCAAATATTTTCCGTTCTATATTATTTAACAATGCCTCCTTCTTTTTTAATTCATCATTTTTAGTCAATAATTGCTTTTGAAATTCATTCAAGTTCGTATTTATCTCTTTTAATTCCATTTCTTTCCTCAAAAACCTAATTGATAATGTCTCGAGCAAATCATAACATGATGGTCGCAACTCTGGATCTACTGTTATGCACTCTTTAATAATAGATCGAAGCTGTGATGAATAATTATCTGGCAAGTCTGGAATTATCCCTTGCTTTATTTTACTCTGTAATTGTAAATGGGTTTTTGCTTGGAATGGTGGCTGTAAAGTGCAAAGCTCAAATAGCACACATCCTAAAGACCATATATCGCACACTGGTGAATATGGATTGTCCATTAATACTTCAGGCGACATATAATATGGCGTTCCCACGTATGTTTTGGCAAAATCGTTCTGAGAAGTTAACATCTTAGCTAAGCCGAAATCTCCTAGTTTAATTGACTTACCGGAGTTCAACATAAAAATATTATCTGGTTTTATATCTCGGTGAATAACTACTGTTTCTGAGTCAATAGTTGGCTCTTTATCATCAACTGGGTTTGAAAATAGATTTACTTTCTTAGCATCAATCCCGTAATGGCATCTATGCAAGGCAAACAAAGTCTGAACTAGAACTTGCCATATAAATTCTTCGGGGACCATCTCTTTATTTTTTCTAAAATTTGAAATTACTTGTGCAAGATCACCTCCATCACAGTACTCCATATATATATGAATGGACTTTTTTTGCATGATATGATCATGTCGGAAGTACTTAACTATATTTGGATGGTTCAATTCTCTCAATATTCTTAATTCAGATATTAGTTGGTTTCTTTCCTGATTATTCATTGAATTATACTCTATTTCCTTTCGAACAAATATTTCTCCACTTGATTTCTTCTGAACTTTTCTAACTGTTCCGTAAGATCCCTTACCTATGACTTCTAATGCATCATATTCATTGGTTATAGTACTATATGACATTCCAATTTACGTGATTCAAATGCTAATAATTATGTATATGTCGTTTATCTCCTATTTTTGATTTAATAACAAACTTGATTCGAAGCAGTAGGCATTATCTAGATAATAATACAATTAAAATAATTAACTAAAAAATGCAACACAGTTATAATAATTGTATTCGAATATTAAAGCTATTATTTATCTACTGAACACTTTGTTTCTATCATAAAATCCCATATAAGATAAATTGAATTTCATATCACTTTCGTTTTAATAAACTTATGTGCGGTGTTTACAAATTGTCTCATTTAGGAAAATCCAAATATTATTACCGAGTTTTTCCTACCCATTGTAGCAAAAGATGAAGTTATGAAGACAATTCAGCACGATATCTTTCTGCAGCCACTTTAGGTATAAACCCGTATTCAAGGTTGAGAAGTTATTTTTCTGGTTTCCATCCCAACTTTCCCCACAGAATAAGTGAGAACTATACTAAAATGCAATTCATGGATGCCTTGTTACATTTTGAATGATATTGAATTCAATAAGTAAACCTTATGCAACCTTCTACCTAAGTTTTGTTTGTGGAATTACCAAATTAGATATATAATTACTCATTGAGTAACGTATAAATTGTTTAATCAGTAGACTTGTCAACAAACCATGCAAAATAATTACCCCAATTTATTTAGAGTGCCCAAGAGATATAGTGGTTCTTAGAAGAATGATCACAGGAGCACAAGTTGCAATTAGTAAATCGGTGGGAGGTTTTTTTTCTTTCTTTTCAATTCCAGAGCAACAACAATTGTTTAATTATGAATATACCCATATTAAGAAAGATTTTAGCTAGGAAGTATAAGACTTGAAGATAAGATAGATTTTCTATATATATTACCTAACTCTACTAGTTTTTTTCTATTTTTTTTTCAAATATAGGACTGAAATTTCGTAATAAACCTTATTTAGTCAAGAGACTAATATAAAAAGGTTTCCAATTATAGATACTTGGTTAAAGCTAAAATATTTACTAATAATTTCTGAGCATATATTAGAACGCTTGGCTTCATTATATTGCTATACATATATTTTCTTTGGAAAAGAAAAATAGAACCTATTTCATACGTTTTGAAGAATTCGCAGCTTTTTTTAAAGAAATTGCGAAATTTTTATATTTTGAGTATAGAGTATTCTCTGGTGACACTAATTCAGAGGATTTATTTTGAAACTTATAAAGCGGAATTGTAGATAACACTAATAATTCACATATGAATCAATCAATTTGATCAAGAGATTCCTTTTTAAGAAGGTCCAAGAGTATATTCTAAGATTCAGTAAATTTCTTAGTTCACAACAACGCACGATCTCATTCACTTCAAATATTTTACTGAAACCTTTATTTACTAGTACATGGTTTTGATTCTTTTTTACATGTATTGAATTCGATAATTTTTTGACGGAAAGACGAGTTTTATTTGGCTTCAACACATTTAGGAATAATTAATGTGTCTGAAGTGAATGTAAGATATCAATAGTTTGCGTCCTCATGAAAGCTTATATTGCAGATAGAATTTATTGCATCTTGTATGGTAGAGTTTTGAAAATTTAATACACATAGAGTAGTATAACCAGTTATCTTGATGACTTAAAATAGCATATAACCCCAGGGTTTATTTCTCTTATAATTGTTAACGTCTCTATTGTTTTAGACACAGAAGAACTAGTCCTACAAAGGGCCTCTCTGATTTTAAGATTCTTGATGATGAGACGATACAAGTCAAGATAGAAGTCAAGTCCATAATGAACCAACAAAGATGGTACGCAAAAGTTTTGCCAAAATAGGAACTTGGAAGGCAGGTCAACATATTTACCTTAATGTTGGTAAAGTTAGTTTATTTCAATATCACCCATTCACTATCGCAAGCTTACCAAGTTCAGGTGAAATAAAATTAATCATAAGAAAGCAAAAAGGATTTACGAAAAGATTGATACAAAAAATTGAGAAAGTGCAACATGACGAAGATCAAGAGCCTGAATGCGTTAAATTGAAATCATCATTGTGGGGCCCATATGGAGGAAAGCATCAGCCACTTCTTACGTTCGACTCAGTTTTGTTCATGGGTGCAGGATCGGGAGCTACATTTACATTTCCAATGGCATTAGATCTCTTGGAAACAATAAGACAAAGAGATACGGCCGGCGACTACTTGTTCCGTCCAAATAAGGCACATATTAAGATAATTTGGATGATTCGAGATATAAAGAACATCGTATGGTTTGAAGATATTTTAAGTCAATTAACACAATATGTAGAATTGGGTGTAGTAAGCATTGATATATATGTTACACAGTCACAGCCAGGAAAGTTAATTTGCCATGAAATTGCCGAGAAGCAACAAGGAACATTCATGAAAGATGAGATCACAAAAGAAATAACTTCAAAAGATAAATCTTCTACAAAAGAAAGAGTTCAAGATTTAGACGAAACTATATCTTCCAATTCTTCAAGCATAAATGATAACTCTCCGAATGTTGATTTCTCACATACTAGTATACATTATAGGCGCCCAGATGTTCCTTCATTGATAGAAGAAACAGTAAGTTACATGATAACTAAGGATAAATCGAGTACTTATAAGTCATTAGCAGTAGTTGGATGTGGTCCAGCTTTGCTTACAAAACAAATGAAAGAAGAGTGCCAAAGGAATAGATGGAGGAAAAACTCACCCGACATTTATTGTCATACTGAGAAGTATTAATTATTTAGGTCAAAATACTATATTATTTATTAAGATAACGAGTATAACAAACTTTCATCAACTTTGTTAGTTTAAAAGTAACATTTCTTTCAGCAACAACGCGATAGTGGGAATTATTTGATTTCCAGAATACCTTACTGCCAAGGTCTTAGAACAAAGTTTTGTGCTTATGTCTTCATATATGTATTTTACCATAACCGCCAAAGCCGTTTAATGGAAAATTGGTGGGGGCGGGGTTAGAACTGTAAACCCCCACCAATTATTTGATTCGAAAAACCTAGAAAGTGGGGTGGTTTTGGACTTCGTTCCTTATCGATTACTATTTAAATGGGTAGAGAGTAGAAATAATTACTTCTATTTTTTGAATATTGTAATTAATCGAAAATGAGTGTTGCTAAAAGGTATGTGTGATAATACACATGATAATTCAGATTGATGATGTACTAACAAATTTAGATCTACTAAAGTTATTAAGTTCTACAATGGACAAGAAATTCCAGCTACTGGTTTAGGTACTTGGCAATCAAAAGACGAAGAAGTCTACAATGCTGTTCTTGCAGCTTTAAAGGTTGGATACAAGCACATAGATACTGCTGCGTGTTACGGTAACGAAGAACCAATTGGCAGAGCCATTCGTGATGCTGGTGTCAGCAGGGAAGAATTATTCATCACTACCAAGGTTTGGGGTACTGATCACACACGTGTCCAACAGGCTTTGGATACATCCTTGCAAAAGTTAGGATTAGATTACGTTGATTTGTACTTAATGCACTGGCCTGTTCCTTTGAACCCAAATGGTAACCACCCATTATTCCCAACCTTGCCTAATGGAAACCGTGATATTTCTCAAGACTGGGATTTCATTAAAACTTACAATTTAATGCAAAAATTGTTAGACCTGGGTAAGACCAAGTCCATCGGTGTTTCTAACTTCTCCATCACTAACTTAAAGAAGTTGTTGGATGCTCCTACCACAACTGTTAAGCCCGTTGTTAACCAAGTTGAATTACATCCATACTTACCACAACACAAATTATTACAATTTGCAAAGGAAAATGACATAGTTTTAGAAAGTTACAGTCCTTTAGGATCGACCGATTCTCCTCTTTTGAGTGACGAAGTAGTTGTCAAGATCGCTGAAAAGAACAAGGTTTCTCCAGCTACTATCTTGATTTCCTGGGCTTTATGGAGAGGTGCTGTTGTTTTACCAAAATCTGTCAGTGCGCACAGAATTGAAAGTAACTTCAATGTTATCGATCTTCCAGATGAAGATGGTAAGGAATTGGACAATCTTCACAAATTAAGAGGTATTAGAAGATTAGTCTTACCAAACTGGGCTCCAGTTGTTGTTTTCGATAGTGATGAGTAAGCAATTTAATTAGAGTTTATAGCTAGTTAGTAAGAATAGAAAATATTTTAGTCCATTAATAATTTTCAGGATACCGGAAGTAATCGTAAATTCCGTAAATTTCTGATCGGTTTTCTGGGTGCCGCACTGTGGGGTAAGCGTATAATAACTTATATATGAGGATCAAATTCTTCCCGAAGCAAATTTGAATTACTATTTTATAGAATTTAGGAGTCAATTAATAAAAGAAATATGAAAAGAAAGAGTGTATCAGGTGGGTCGCAATATAACTGTGATATTGACGGATGCAATAAAGCCTTCTCCCGTTCAGACCATCTAGCTAGACATAAATTAAACCACAACCCCGAAACTTTCTATATTTGCAAGTGGGAAGGCTGTAATAAGCAGTTTGTGAGAAAAGACGTAAAGGAGAAACACGAAAATAGACATGCGATTAAAGCAGAGAAACAGAAACATAATCAAGCTAAGAGGAAATCTCAAGGGCAGTCCTTGAAATCTACAAATTCTCCACTTGAAAATATTTCCAATACAGACTTCACCGATAGAAACATGGACGACAAATCCGACGATATGTCACCTAATAAGATTAGAAGAAGACTGACCTCGTTTAATTTGAATAATGACAATTATGATTACAATAGTGGGTTCATGGTTAATGGGGTAGGCAGTCAGATGGCAAAGTCTCCGAACTTTGGAGGCAATTTGGAAGTGTTAAATAATAACTCAATAAATTATTTGCCAGAGAAGACCCTCTTACCTACAGACTTAACTCAATGGCTATTTAAAGACGATGCATTTCTTAATAATAACGGTGAACTTAGTCCTAATTTCATTTTTAATGGTATTGACAATTATTCTAGTTCCCTTTCAATGGATGCATTTGCCGTTTCACCAAAGTTTCCACATCCGAACTTCCAAACATATGTTGATGACCAAATAATTCAGAAATTAACCTTATTGATACCCTCTTTGGCTAATAACATAGATTTTGGAGCTGTTCAAATTGAAAGATGCTTAGAAATCTACTGGTCTATATTTCATGTACAATATCCAATCCTACATAGACCATCGTTTTATACGCCTGAAGTTCATCCCTTGCTCTTATTAAGTATCGTTATGATTGGAGCAGGCTTATCGTACCAAACTGGCCAAGACGAGACGCATATATTTACTGATGCGCATGGTTTAGCAGATAATATAGCAGAACCATTGAGATGGTTGATATGTGCTTCTGAAGAGTTCACCTCTCCTGCAAAATCTTGGATTATACAAAGTTTAATTATTTTAGAAAGTTACGAGTTTTCATGCTCGAACAGAAGGTTACACGAAAGAGCTTATTTACATCATGGACTAAAGATTCAGCTATTAAGAAGAAGCCCATTATTAGGGGGTGACCCTTTGAACAGATCAAACGAAGACAATGAGTTAACGGAAGAGCAAGATCTTTGGAAGAAGTGGATTGAAATTGAATCCTTAAAGAGGGCCGCATTAGTTTCGTTTTATTTGGATACGATTCGTGCAACCATATTTGGACACGAAATAATTTTATTTGCTCATCAAATTAAGTTGTCATTGCCTTGCGATGATATGCTCTGGGAAATGTCTAGTATTGATAAAAATAATCTTCCTCCCCAAACGGAAACACCTAAGTTTATTACTGCGTTAACTAAATTATTGAAGAAGGAAAAGTTTGAAGCTCCATCGCTAAGTAGGAAGATTTTGTTAGCTGGTTTATTGACAATTAACTACCAGATGGAACAAAAGGATTTACAGGTAACGTTTTTAGGCTGGGAATCAGTCAAAGAGTCATGGAAAGAAACAATATATTTGGCAATTGAAGAATGGAGGGACGCGGTATGTCATGGTAGTTGCCGAGCTACCATGACTGCTTTTTATTTACCGTTCAGTAATGACGGAACACACCCCTTATCAGCTAGAATCAATGATATACAATGTAAGTTTCCAATTTATCATATAGGACAGGCATTAATGAAAATAAATCAGTACGACTGTATTATATATGCGGGAGCTCCAAGTCGCATGAACGTTAAAACCGCAGAAAGAGATTATACAGCTGTTGAAGGGCGGATTAAAGTATGGGCAAATTCACTCGCTGGACGGATTGCTGCTGTTGATTGTTACCTCTTTTTATTCGAAATGTTATTTGCAGAAGATGATGATAGTATGCATCTCTTTTATGATCCTTCAAGAGATCCTATATTTTATAGGCCAAATATCGTGGCTACCTCATTATTCGTTATATGGGCATTTAATTTTTCCTTATATGGGCCTGAATCATTTATTTATTCAGATAAAAATCTTGAAGCATCATATCAGGATGTCAGCAGCCCAGGCTTTTATCGTGGAGTGAATGAATTAAATGGAATAGATTTAGAAAAAGAAAATTTAAAAATTGAAGATGGGCATTTATACATCAAGAGAATATGTGAAACGTTTAAGAGGAAGAACAATAACGAAGCATTATCTAACAAATATAAAAGAAAGTATGCTAGTTATTTGGATGGTATATCGGACAAGCATAAAGTGGTTGGATTATTGAGACTTTTCAAGGATAGGTATATACTTTGCAATTCAAGTATATGCCGAGAGTATTCAGATCTTTTAGAGAATTGCATACAAAGAAGTTTAGGAAGAAAGAGACAATAATGAACACACACATATATATTATTTAATTTACTCTCACAAAACTTTTGAATAACTTGCTTGAATCAATTGTAAATAAAAAAAAGTGTCTGCTAAAATACACACTTCCTCAATCAGAAAATTGTTTTATATTATCCTATAAAAAGCCTTTTCTACATAATAAGAATTTAATAAATCAAACATCGTTACAAGCAACTCTCACTGCCTTTGATGAAAAGCCTTTTAATTCGTCTTCACTTGGGATATTCAAACTTTGCAACCAGTTTTCTTTAGAGAAGGATACGGCTGCAGGTTGACCATAAACAGCACAAGCAAACTTGGCCGATGAATTGGCATCGATTGATCCAGTCAATTGAGGTAAAATTACCTTTGACGCCATCAAACTAGCATTTGGATCTGGTTCTGTAACCCTTGGTTTTCTGTCATCCAATAAGTTGACAAGTAAGCTGATATCTTCAGTTGTTGTTACTTCCCCTACTGCAGAAGATCCAGGATGAGTAGCAGTTTTAATACCCTGTTCGTTCATCGAGGGTACAGCAAAACCTCCTTCTATCGAATCAACTGTTTGTGAAGTCTTGTTCTCGATATGATGTACTCTGATGTGAGAGTTACCCTTTTGAATAATCCATGTCTTGACATGGATTCCTGTTATAGGTGACCATTCTGAATATAATCCACCGTCAAAAATCCAGGCCTTATTGGTTTGCCTAACATAGAAATCATTTCCTGAAAAACTAAAACCAATCATATTATCGAGAGTGCCAAACTTGAATCCTCGTGGATTATTTTCAACACAGAAACCATACCTTGTACTGTAGGCAAACTTGTTGTATTTTTCAGCTTGATATCTTAAGTTGAAAGTTTTATAGGGGCCACTTATTAATGCAACGGTGTTACCCGGGGTATGTGAAACAAGCATACCTGGAACCTTTAATGCAGCATCTTCCAAAACCAATGGTTCTTCTTTTGCAGCCCAAAATGGATGATTCTCTGGAACCATTAACGCGATGTATGCCTTAAAAGCCCAGTATGGGGATTGTGGTGAATTATATGCCTCACACATAAATTGATTAGGATATGCAAACCCGACAGAAAGGGTGTTGGTCCTAAATCTGGAGACTGGTTGCCTGGACCACCATCTCAAGTTTCTTAAATAAACACCCTTCAAAACACCCCAAGGAATAACAGGCTCTTCGTCCGACTGAGTTATTAATGGCAAAATACCCCAGAAAGAAATGACAGCATATCTGTATGTCATAGATCTACCATAAGGAATAGAAGCTCCATCATCAGCGAACCAATGGAGATATTGCTTTGCAAAATGAAGGGCTCTATCTTTAAATCTTTGACTTCTTTCTGGATCAGTGTCTTTTCTTACCAAGTAATAAATTAATCCATATAAATGTAAAGCGAAGGGGTTGTAGTAATCAATACTGGCTTTATCACCATCTCCATACCAACCGTCCCCAATGTACATTTCGTCTAACTCTTCTAAATGATTTTCCGTTAATTTTCTGTCATATAAAACTCCAACACTATCTAAACCTAAGTCAATTAACACTCTGAAGAATTTCCAATTACAACGACGGAATTCACGTTTTCTGGCCTTGAGAAGATAATCGGTAAGATTTTTTTTGGTCTCTTCTGGTAATGGTTCCCAAACATGCTCTGGGACATATACCAATGCATACCCAACAGCAGCTAATTCAACCATCTTTTGGTCACAATCGACAACTTCTCCCCAATATTCTTCGTGATTTGGGTCTGTTCCATTGATAAACCCCTTTCTAAACAAATCCCAGTGTTTAAAGTCACCACCACCAACAACATATGGCACTATTCCCCATAAAGCCCTAGCAAAACCTTCAAAGTGGGCAGCCGCCATTGGAAAATGAGCACCACTTTCTTCTAAGCTTACTCTTGCACCCCCATCGGAAAATGCAGGAAGTAATGGTTCAAATGATTCAGTAAATGAGCGCATAACATCATCTCTTGTTTTGAATGCGTTATCTGAGCATGGATTGAAATTGGATGGGTTAGATATCATTGTTAGTTTTTATATTTTACCTTAGATATAAATATAAATCTAACCTAACTGTAACAATTCGGTTGGTTTATATATGTTCCGTCTAGATCAAACCTGTCACCCCACTACATAAACCCCACCCCCACCAAAATGCCCTTGCATTAAAGACAATTATATTTTATACTTTGGCACTGATCCAAGTAATGCAAGGCAACGCAAAGAAATAATGGTGGGAACCTCCCCGCCAGAATCTCAGTTAGTAGGTTCGGCAAAGTCATTCCCAAGATTTAACGATTTCATAATTGTTCTTGTGCAATCGACAAAACAGTCGAGAGTTTGATCATATAATCGGTAAATATCGGTAAACAAATTCATCTTACCACGCGTATGTCAACTTAATCATCTACACTGGGATTTACTTACTGCTCCCAATTATATTACAAGCATAAGAAAATTAGATTATACATTTCTTAACTATTCAAGAAGATTAAAAAATTATATATCTTCCAAAGATTGATCAGCGTGCGAGTCGTAAGAGTTTCGTTTTACCTCAACATGCTCAACGTTCATCTTTGAATGTAGTTCCTTATCTGAGAAGAATGGAACATCTGGTTGCCACAGCCTAGTTCTCCAAGCAGGGACTTTATCTTGCCACATTTGGCCAATTTCTTCCAATCTTTTGCCTTTAGTTTCAGGGAAAAAAAATAAGACATGAATGAACATACAAGCACAAAAAGTTGCATAAATGATGTATGTCTTCCACGTAATATTTTTAAAAGAAGACGGTGTATACATAGCGAGGGCAAAGTTGAAAATCCAATTTGCAGAAGTAGACACAGCAGCACCTCGTTGTCTGGCTGCATTATCTCCCCAGACTTCAGCACAATATACCCAAATAGTAACACCCCATGTCAGAGCATATGCGGCAACAAACAAAAAGCACGATGCGATAATTGCCTTTCCAACTGGTTTTCTTTCTATAGGTATCTTCATCCTAACAGTATCATTCCCAGAGTCATTATATGGTTCAGAGTATGTGGCAAAGAGACCTGCCACAGCATATTGCCAAACCATCATCCCAGCTGCTCCAAATAATAATAGTGGCCTTCTACCAAATCTATCCATAAATAACAAAGCAATTCCAGTTACGCCAACTTTAATACAATACTGAATACAGGATGCAATTAAATTGTTGTTACCAGTGTAACCAGCCATTTCGAAAATATAAACAACATAATAATTCATAACATTCAGACCTGCCAACTGTTGCCATATTTGAGCACTGACTGCTACAATAGTTCTTGAGATATAATTTTTAGTAAAAAGATCTGCAAAAGTGAAAGACCTTAGTTTCTCAGAAGCAAATATTTGTTCTTTGATTTCGGAAACTTCTATCATAACATCTGGGTCTTCCCTGTTACCTTTTGCTTGTATTTCTGCGACAATCTTTTCAGCCTGATCCCAAAGATTTTGTTTTGCTAACCATCTAGGAGATTCTGGAATAAAAAGTACTCCAGTCATAATCACTAATCCAGGAATCATTTGTAAACCCCAAGCTAGTCTAAATGATCCGACACCATTTATGAAGTGGCAACCATAAGAAACAAAATACATAATAAGTATACCAAGAGTTACTGAGAACTGAAAAAGTCCTCCAATCAAACCTCTAATTTTCCTTGGTGCCATTTCAGAGCCGTAAACAGGTGCTACGGACGATCCAAATCCAACTCCATATCCACCAATAATTCTACCAATAATCAACTGGGCTACGTTTTGGGAAGAAGACTGAATTGCAGCTCCTACCACCCAAAAAAAGCCACATATGATTAAGGAAGGTCTTCTACCAAAAGGTTCAGAGACAAATGACGCAGATATTGCCCCAAAAAATGATCCCAATGCCATGGAAGCAGTAATAAACCCCTGCAACTCGGAATTTGGCGAATTAAAGAAACGGAGATAATCGTTATCACTAACAAAGACCGACATTGAAGAAATATCAATCCCAAACATCATGCCTGAAATACAGGAGATCATTGCAATGATATAAACATTGTAAATCTTAGGAAACTTATCCAAATACGCATTAAACCTCAAGGCTGGCCCGATTAACTTATCTTCAAAAGCCATATTAAGATATATATTTTTTATTATATGTAGGGTCTTAATTGTATAAAAAAGTTTATTTTATGGGAATATTTTTACTCTTATAGTTCGGCATGATACCGCTGTGACAGGATTATAGGCTCCTGCAGTTTTGAGAAAAAAATATTTGATGAACCAAGGTATCTCTACTATGTGAAACATGGTTACAGCCTAGAGTGGCATAAAAAGTCAGCGGGTGGGGGTGGAGAATGAATTGATGCAAATAGAATGAAACCAGGGGCCACTTTATAATTTGGTGGGGGAGATATTGTGATACGAACTTTTATAATCTGTAGAAGAAATAAATTAAGGCATTATGGCCATTTTTGCATGCAACTAGAAGAATCTCCACTCTCACAAATGTAAATGATGATTCTACAACTTTTGAAAGCATGCACTTTTTCATTAAAAAGATATCATGAGCTTTTTTGTTGTTGTGTATCGTTCAATACTTTTCTGTGATACTGTAATTCCGCTCCCTACTTTAATTGTGAATTTAGTTTGTAACTCATACGATATATATCGATTACAAACTGTTTGGACGTCTCGCAACGAAAAAAATAAATAACTTTTAGTCAAGCCGCAGGTTGCTTGACGTAGGGGTGCATTTAGAATAAAGCAATACTAGCACACTCCAAATACCTCATAAAATGATCTTCCAATTGTAATAATATCAGACAAATAAAATGCTGATCAATGAATAAAAGATTCATATGATTCTTGATCTTTGAAGACATATCTAATTAGTGGTTAATTGCAAGACAGCGTCTAATGCGAGATTTTAGATTCTGTTCACCTCATGCTTGAAAGATATTCACTTAATATATATATTTCTCGGGTAAAACTATGGATCGTATTTAGTTAAAACTCACAAAGGAAATACATATATATTATACATATTTATTCTTGAATCCAGCTCAAGTAAACTTTGTCTCCTCAGTTTTTTCTGAATTTAAACCAGCAGCCCCAGTATCTAAAACGTAAGATGAGAACTTTCTGGCCAGAATACCTTTTTCAAATAAAATATCCAATTCTTCATACGTTCTATCTTTAGTTTCAGGAAGCCTAAAATAACTCCAAATGAGGGTAGGCAATGCAGTAGCAAACCATACAAAAGCTGTTTTGCCCTTAAGGTCAGCTCCAGTTGGGGTAATAAGATAGGGTTCTACTACATTAGATATTAAAGAAGCTAAATTATAAGCATTTCTTGCAAGTGCAACCGATTGTGCGCGTAATCTTGTCGCAGACATTTCACTAACAATTGTAAATGCCAAAGGTCCAATAGTAAGAGCATATGTGGCAACCCAAATCAAAGTCAATGCAGCCTGAGCCCATCTAACATTTGCATTATTTTCTGCAGGAACAGCTAAAATTCCAATGAGGAAGAGCATTATAACTAACATCAAATACCCACTAACGTAAATAGTTCTTCGACCAAAACGCTTCAACAAAAACCAAGAACAGAATGTGCCTGTAAATGCTATACCAGTAACTCCAAGATTTAGTTTATATGTGTCGTTACTATTTAGACCAGCTTGTGAAAAAAAGTAACTCGGAGAATAAGCAAAGGTAGATCCAGAAAGCACTTGGCCTGCAAATGCGATACAAGCAATTTCTGTTCTACGAAGGTTTGAGCCTTGAAAACATTTCAAATAACTTCTTAATCCTTTGACGTCATCTTTTGTAAGATTTTCTTGCTGTTGTTCAAGTTCGTTGGTGTGGATCATAAGCGCAACTGCCTGATGTGCTTTATGTTGTATAGATTTAGAGCCAAGCCTTTTTATTGACTTTTCAGCATCTGCAATCCTACCTTTTCTAATAAGCCACCATGGAGAATCTGGAGCAGCCCACGTTAGTATAAATAAAGGTATTGGCCATGCCCATTGAATTGCAAAAGGAATCCTGTAGGACCACTCAGTAGTATTGGCAACAAGTGCTTTAAGAACCCCCGCTGCAACAAATTGACCAATTGCCCAGCACATATTAACATAAGCAGTAAGATAACCTCTTAATGCCATAGGACAAACCTCAGATGAATAAGTAGGACCCATTGTAGCAAATACACCCCAAGGAAGACCACATAATATTTGACCAACAAGTAGTATTTCAACTGAAGGAGCAAAAAATGGGATAAAAACAAATGCACACATAAATATTAAACTCACCATAATGACCCTTCTATGTCCAAATCTTTCAGTTAAATATCCATTGGCGAATACACCAAGTATTGTTCCAACATTTGGGGCAGTTCCAAGAGCTGTCTGCCATCTTGTAAGGAGCTGATATTCACCATCACCTATATCAACTCCATATTTCTTTTGAAAAGAAGGATAAGCAAAAAAAGACGACATAAGAATATTGTCATACCCTTCCATTATTATAGTCGCCGACAACACCATAGACCAAAGAATTGCAGGTTTATGAGACTTAAATGCTTCCCTGAGAGTTAAGGCATGCTCGTTATCAGTAGCTTGTCTCGCATCCTCATTTATTTCAAGATTTGCATTAGCAGGAAATTTGTCTGAATAATTATCAGATACAGCCTCTTCAATATGAAGTATATCTATTTTATCTTTAGCCATCTTATTTATTCCAATTACCTAACCAATAAAGTAATAATTGAGGCTTCATGGTTCTTTTTATACATTTCTGTTATCTACAAGCTTACCTAGATTAGGGTAAACATCCACTAATTAATTTTAACTATATCCCCATCTTATGGACTAAATAGAGAAATTTAAGGTGGAGTAGTACTTTCAAATGTGTTTTCTTTGGCCAATTTAGATATCAACCCCTTTGGCTATTGTTGATACCCCATTCCTGTGTGAGTCTCTTTAATTAGAAGACACATTTAGCTCGTTAGTCACGAATTAGCAGGTACCAGCGGTAAAATGAATATGCATTGAGTGAAAAATAGGGTTCTATTCACCAATACATAGAAGTGTTAGATCTAGTTATTGCGACAGTAACATAGAGACCATACTGAAGAAAAAAAAATTCGAAATTCTAGTGAAGTCACATTAGCTGGAAGATGTTGTGAAAAGCCGGATGCAATACTGTAACAGGTAAGTGTATTTCTTTGCCTAATATACATTCGGTATAATACAAAATCGGTTAATATCACGCATTTAACTTCCTAATAACCCGAGAATTAATGCTTTAAACTTCTCATTAACCTTATTCATGGAAGGATCACTTTTTGTGGGGTAACCTGCCACTCTTTTTATTCCGAAGAGAGTAACTA